AAATATACCATACCTGAGTTCATCTTTAGGCTGAGCTCTATGTATTATCTTTATTTCACACTTATCTCATATCTGGGGAGACCCAGGGGCGGACTGACCATTTGGAAACTCGGGCACTGCCCGAGGGCCCGGGGTCAGTAGGGGGCCCCATGAGATGCCCCTGGTACCTTTTTCATAGGCTTTTTTGAGTTTGGGCAAGGACACAGGGGCCCCATGATCCCCTATTGCCCGGGGGCCCCATGAGTTGTCAGTCCGCCCCTGGGGAGACCTGATGGGGAAGCTGGAAATCACTGTATCATAATCAGTGTCCATATTTGGTTACCCCCGCGCCCTCCCCCCCCCCCCCACTTTTGTGACAGTGCTAACCCTCCTCTCCACCTCATCCAAACACAGAATGCCTTGTGTTTAATGAAAAATAATACAGAGTGTTCTATGGATGGCAGCAGTTCCAAACGAGTGACTCCCCCCCCCCCCCCCCCCCCGTGGCCAGTGTGCATTATGGCAAAGCCACTTGGCACAAGACCTGGAAGATTGTGCAATTTACTGTTTAGTGATGACTACTAAAGGCCATATTCCCTAGCGGCATCTCAGATATTGAATATGTATACTTACCACGCGCCAAGCCAAAAGGAACTACAGTAATCAATAAAAAACCATACCTGGTACTCAGTCTTAAGTAATGATAAAGTTATTGTCAAATACACAGTCTCATAGCAAAAATGTAAAAATTGCTCTGCTCCATGAGGGATATACAGAGGTAAGAGCTAAGGTAGGATAATTATAAATGTCCTTTTCAATTCCAAGCCCCACTTATTGAAATTCAAAATTGAATAATATCTTAGTGTGTTAAATTCATGAACAGAAATTCCAGTAAAGCAAGTTTAGGATTAGCAGGAGAAGCAATGAGTCAATTACAGGATCAGGGGGTTAACATTCTAAGAAATCCTGACTACAAAGCAAATACTGGTACAGGGGTTGCATGGAAGACAATTTGGAAAATGTGCATTAATCAGCCCCCCTGCAATGGGAAAAAGAAATTGTTGTGTAGCAGTTTCATTCAGTTTGGTTTAATATAGATTTGTAGTCTCACCTCTGGCTGTTCCCAGTAAGATGTAATACACAATGATGGTGGACAGTGTCTTCATCGGTAGCATAACAGCAATGTACCAAGAACGGAAGAGAATACAGGAGGGTAGGTGATCCAGTCTGTGTGAAGTTTCACGGATCAGATTTCTAATTATAGAGAAAACTGATTGATCTTAATGTGACAGAGGTGAGGATTTATATTGGCACGCGTTGGGGAAGTGGCACTGTCACATGACATTGTGCTGGTACTGCTCCACGCTGACATAACTCCGAATATTGTCAGCCTAAGACAAGAAATGTCCAAACTTACAGGAATACTTTTTAATCAGACAGAAATATTCATTTTGATTTTGTAACCCTCCTGGAAGGCGTCCAAATCAAATCAGAAGTGGGGAGGGATGAGGAAAAGAAGAGAGATGAAGAGGGACAGTCATGTGCTGGCAATATTGAGAGGTCTGGAGGGGCTATAGGGGGTTAAAAATATATATAGGCTGAACTGTTTCGAATGGCGGATCCCAACTGTCAGTCCAAAACAATGTTATCTGCATTGCGGTCTACTAGCAGCACCTCTTCAAGGAAAGGCTTTGCAATCTTTACAGTTTAAATAAATACATTTTTACTTATTTTTGCATTATTTTAGAATAAGTGACTTTTTACTCTTTTCTTTACAGGGAGCCGTATTTTCTGTTTAATATAATGACAGAGACACTTTATGAAGGCGAGGAAAGATGCTGCCCAAGATGATTATGAGACCACCGGGTAAAGGGAGGCCACTGTATGTATGGAGAGATTGGGGGCAAAGTCTAAAGCCTTGTACACACTCAGAGGAACGATTTTCTGATTTTCCTGGATGGTGTGTATTATGATGTAGCTGAGAATGGTATTACCTTGTATAAAAATTTTCGGTCGACGTAGGCAAACGTACTTTTTTGTGAGCGTTTTTTTTCTATTTCCGTATGATTGCTGTACACATTGAGTGAAAATCGGACGTTGGGGTCATGCACAATAAAAAATTTTTATCTTGCACCTTCGTGCTTTTTCATCCAAACAGTTGGAATCAGCTGTCAAAAGCGCTATACTATAGAACAGATAATCGACCAATCGTTCCTCGAAAAGAGTTTTCCGTATGATTTTTTTATCTTGTGTATGGGCCTTAAGATGCAATATACTACACTGGATACCAGTATACAATTTCCACTCTACGTTGTATACCAAATGCCACTGGAGTTCAGTATAAAACTTGCACTCTATACTGGATTCGGGTATATGAATTATTTGGACTGCACACTAGGGTTGCACTGATACCAGTATCAATATTGGTCCCGTTACTCAGTATTTGCACGCGTACTCTGGCAAATGCGCCAATACCTGAAACTAATACCTTTGCGGTGCGATTTGAGCCCATACTAAATTAATGGGTTTAAATTGCACTGCAAAGAATCACATGCAATTTGAACAGGAATGCGGTGAAATTCAAGTCCGAATCACATGCGGTTTCCAACACTCCTCCTGTATGAAGCTTATCATAGTGACTTCAGCCTGTGTTCACACATGGGCTGTGTGGAAACCACATGCGATTCCAACAGGAATCGCACTGCATTCCTGTTCAAATCGCATGCAATTCTTTGCAGTGCGATTTAAGCCCATTAATTTTGTATGGGCTAAAATCGCACAGCAAAGGTATTGATACTCAGTATTGCCAGTTCTTTACCAAAAGTATTGGTACTCATACTCACCTGTAAAAACAAAGGTATTGGTGCAACCCTACTGCATCCTAAAATCAGACATACAATATGCACTCCTTACAGGAGTCTGGTATGCAATATGCACTCCAAATTGGAACCCGGCATACAATAGGCATTCCATACTGGATTCCAGCATACAATATACACACCCCTTGTCAAGGCTAAAGGGGAGCAGGTTGTTCACTTAACCTAGTACACAAGGTGAAGCTGGGAGTGGGGGACTGATCCTAAGTAACATGTTACATCCTAAATACGAGTGTAACATGTAACATGTTACAAAAGGTGAATTTACCCTTTAATGACCCTGCTGGTGCTCAGAATTTATTTGCTCTCTCGAAAGGTATTGCTAAGATGAAGTATAGAAAAAACAAATGGACCACACATAATCATAGACGTGTGCATATATTCATCATATCATAAATTAGTCCCATATTAGTGAAACAAGTGCATATGCTTGTGCTCGGCTTATATTCAATATCCTGATTAATGGATCATCTCCAAAAAAAAGTGCTCCACTGTGCTCAACAAAAGTGCCCCCTTGCATTTTCTGAAGACAATCTATGATTGAAACACGTTGAGGTTTGATGACGCAACTTCCGCCAACATCACATCCGTCCTGTGGAACGCACGCCACTCCGAGGAGCGATCAATACATTTTGAGCAATTCCATTTTGAGCAGTAACAAGGCTGAGTACACCAGGTGCCGGGTGTAGGCACTTCTTTTGTGAGTGTATTTTTTATATGGTTCCCCCAATAAAATTACCAAACAGTTTTAGTCTATGTGTTGTCCCCTTCTCTTTCTTTGTATATGGTGATATACTTTTCCCTTTGTGCAGAGATGTGGCGATAGCTGACTCTTTTAAAATTGTCCCTTAAATATCACGGACTGCCCCAAGAATAGATGGTCACAGGCTAAGGATCTGGAGACAACTGGCTTACTGGGAATGTCCCACAAGCATTAAGGACCATTCTAGAGATAGATGGTCATTGGATAAGGGTGAGTGTCAGTCCACGTGAGGCACTTTTGTCGAGCACAGTGGAGCACTTTTTTTGGAGATGATCCATTAATCAGGATATCGAATATAATCCGAGCACAAGCATATGCACTTATTTCACTAATATGGGACGGGTTTATGATATGTTGAATATATGCACGTTTCTGATTATGCGCGGTCCATTTGTTTTTTCTATTTAATTTTTGTGATATTTTAACACAAGTATAGGACTCCTGCAAAAGATTTATTTTGTTTTAATAATTGTGCCACATCCATACGTGCATGAGCACTTTTACTATTTAAGATGAAGTATAGTATCTGTCTGTTTTTATCAGTGTCCAGTAGGGGTGCTCTGCCATTATTCTGGACTTTTTGCAGGGATGGCTGGCTGTATAGTATCCCTGCTGGTTTGATTGGGGTCCTGAGGACCCCCCTTCTGGGAAAGAGACTGAATTAGGCACCCACTGGGCAAGGTATGGGTTAAGAGTATTTCCCTGGTGTGGAGGATCCTATGGGGCCCAGTGCCTCCTGATTTGAACTATGCTACCTTGTCTGACAGCTGGAAAGTAGACAGCAGAGTGGTGCCCTGGGGATGCTGGAGTAACACTATGGGTTTGGGACCCCACTGTGTGAAACAGCACTTTATCCATGACCCCCACATGCCTTTTTCTGCACTTTGTCTAATAGACTAGGATTTTTGACTAAGACGGGGTAATATTTTTTTACCAGATCAAAGGGCCTAGTTATTTTCACATGCACGGGCATTTGTTAAAATTTCTATCCACATATGTGACTTACACTTATTTTTGTGTTTTTTTTTCTCACTCACTCAAGAATAGCAGGGTGTGGGTCTCTGAGTCTACCCTGAAGTCAAGGGGAGGATGTGTAGCCCTTACCATGTGGCCCTAACCCAAACCTCGCCAAGCATTGGTTGGCTTCGGGTGATGTAGAGCAGGTCCATTGGGCCTTTTGGCTAGGTGAGCCTGAGTATGCCTTGCCACCTAAGGAACTTTATTTCCTGGGGGTCAAGGAAAGGTCCTTCCTCTTTGGGGGAGAGACCATATGATGCATACTAAGTGCACTGTTTTGTGCTCACATGCACTTTTTTGGTTTACCTATGGTGTTTTGTTTTTGCGCACGATGTAGCAAGTTCAGAAAAAAGAAAAACATATATACCTTAAGTAACACACCCCACTGTCTTCATATCCCTTATTTTACTTTAACTCCATAGTGACCATGCTGGTATTTAGAATTTGTTTGGTCTCTGAAAAGTCATTGCCCATTTATCCAGTGACATGCTGATGTTGTGCCACCTTCACACACTGAGTAACTCTTACCTCCAATATATAACATATAATCAGTAAAAGGTGTTTGTGTTGGGTCACTCTGGTATACAACGCCTTCACACCAACCCAGGACCCTGCATTCACTATATCTGGTCTCCCACAGTACTCAGAACATGGAAATGCAATTATTTTAGTAAATATAAACTGCTAAATACCTTTTCTCATCAGCAGTTAGATCAGTCTTGTGACTTCAGCAGAGCACTGGTTAAAACTTGTAGGAGGAGTTTTCTTTCTGCTCTAGGAGGATGCAAAACCCCTGACCTCTGTCTGGACAGTGCTGATTGGCGCTGTGCTGATCACATGCACTCTCCCAAGAAAAAAAAAAAGCTCTCTAGCAATACACACTAAACTGAGCATGTACATGTGGCTACGGGTTCAGTCTGTCTTATCAGGTGAACATTTGAAGAAGAGGAGGGGCACAATGCAGAGGATTAACACCTTAGCAGGGGCGGACTGACCATTTGGAAACTCGGGCACTGCCCGAGGGCCCAGGGTCAGTAGGGGGCCCCATGAGATGCCCCTGGTACCTTTTCATAGGCTTTTTTGAGTTTGGGCAAGGACATAGGGGCCCCATGATCCCCTATTGCCCAGGGACCCCATGAGTTGTCAGTCCGCCCCTGCCCCTTAGGTTCCACAGTGAGTATAACAAGCTTGCTTTACTACATATACAGACTGGTTTTACTGTTGTGGGTTTAGTAACTATTTAAGTACTTTGTAGTCTTTGTGTCTAATTTCCCGAAACCACATTTTTTATAAATACATCTCATATTACTTCCTTCTTGGTTTACTCTCACTTTCTAAAAAGCCCAGAATTTCACCACGGAGTCATAAAGTTAAGCAATTTACAAAAAATTGGTGAATTTAGCACTTTGTTTGATATTGACAAAGTTTTCTGCTTGCCTCACCCAGAAGGAACTTTATTGACTATTGGCAATGGCCGTCAATATTTCTGGCAGAGCACATAGTCATACTCATACTGGAAAACACAACATACAATAAATACTCCATACGGGAGTCCAGCAAATAACACACACCACTTGTAGAGTTTATTTTACTAAAGGAATATAGTTTTCTCACTTAGCTTAGTACATAACTCACTCTGAATACCCCGTTATGTGTGAAGGAAAGGAAACAAAATAATTTTTGCTCATGTTTGGATAATTGTGAACACAACTTCCCTAGGTTCACTAAGCTCAGTAATCATTCACTCTTCAAAGTGTCTACTCTAAGTAAGTCACACCTACTGTCTTCTTATCTCTGTAACACTCATGCCCTCAAGAACCACTGAATTGTTTGGGGCCTCCTTGCCTTTCTATTCCAGAGTTGACCTCCAGTTCCACCCAAACACCCACCGATCCACCACCAATGACCAAATAATTCACTCTTTTGGTCTTCTTTTTGCACATTTAGTTGGCTCTGATGTCTAGGAGTAGAGGGTTAAGGTCAAACAACAAAAGAGAAAAATTCCCAGCTCAGCTTGCCAACCAGCCTGCAAACAAACCGAATTAAGCTGTCTAACAGTAAGCGTTAAAACCAGGGGTTTAGTTAGAATGCATTTGCAAATACACGTGTAAGCTACAAAGCCTTGTCACGGCACCCAGATATTCTGTAACTCCTAATGCTAAAAATTTTAGAGGCACATGTATTTAATGGATAGACCAAGGGCAGGTGGACCTGAGCCCATCCCTCCTAAAAGGTACAGGAGTGCACTGAACACCCAGCATGTAGCACAATGGCAGCTAAAGTATCCGGTGCACCCCCTTTCCAACAATCCAACAGTATAAAAAATGACCGCTGCCTCAGTCTATAGCTGGCCTTCACAGCAAGGAGCTCATGGAAGGGCGACGCATGTCAAACAACAAAAGAGAAAAATTCCCAGCTCAGCTTGCCAACCAGCCTGCAAACAAACCGAATTTACCTGTCGAACAGTATGCTTTAAAAACAGGGGTTTAGTTAGCACACATTTGCAAATACATGCAAAAGCTACAGAGGACATGAGCTTTAGTATGTTTAAAATAGTCCATCACCAGGAACCTCTTAATTTTGGAGTTCAGTCCACGCACATTCCATGTAAGCAATTTAAGAGTCATGGTGAGGCAGAGAACAATGGCACCAAAAGGATATTGTGAAATTAGAGTGTATCTGCATAAAAGAGGACCTGAATGGTAGTGGTCAACCAAACCATTCTCTTCAATCCTCCCAAGATCTTCTGCTCTCTATTTCCCATGTCACCTCCTCCCATGCCCGTCTCCAGGACTTCTCCCGAGCTTCTCCCATCCTATGGAACTCTCTACCCCAACCTCTCTGGCTGTCTCCTAATCAATCCACCTTTAGATGATCCCTGAAAACCTTTCTCTTTAAAGAAGTCTATCCTGCTTCTACCTAGTAAATCGCCATTTATTTCCTCCATCAGCTCATCCCCCCCACAACTATTACCTTTTGTATCACTCAACCCTTCCTCCTAGATTGAAAGCTCTAACGAGCCGGGCCCTCTGTTTCCTGTTGTACCAAATTGTATTGTAACTGTAATGTCTACCTTCATTTTGTAAAGCACTGCGCAAACTGTTGGCGCTATATAAATCCTGTATAATAATAATAATAACAGTGGTATCTTGAAGGTAAGGGGGGAGACCCTAAATGCAAGTATGAACCAGTTGGACCAGAAAGATAAAGGAAACAAAACATAAAACAAACAGTAATCAAATATCTCCAACCCCCCCTCCTGGCTCATTGCCCCAAACTACAACAAGCTTTATCCCTGTAACCACAAAGCCATTAGGGGACAAGACTAGACAGGTCCCATGAACAAAGAAAGTAGTGCTCTTCTTAAACTGGTAGTAGCTAAAGACAAGAGCCAAAAAATAGAAACAAAGATAAAAAAATACACGATTAAGCAAATTAAGGCTCGTCAGGGAAGAGCAAAAAGGAAGCACCTTTAGCGGATTCAGCACTCAAATCTTAACTATAAAACTCCTTTACTTGTAATTCAATAATGTAAGGATAACAATAAAGTACGCTTGATGTAACCATGCCTCAGCAGAACCAGGATTCAGCTTCCGGGGCGAAGACATCCTTCTGGCACAGTAGAGAGAATATTCCCAATAATACAGGGCCATGAATTTGGGCAAAGTAAACCCATAACAGTTAGCAATCAGCAAAGACATCAGGAGGTAAAAAAGTGTTGATCAGACACCAAGTGCTTGAAAAAAAAAAAAAATCTTGTTCAGCCCAAACTGTCCAAGCATTCGGATGCTTCGGATGGTGACATAAAGAACTGTACCTTTCCTTCATTAATGACCCTCAATTTAGCTGGGTACAACATGCTGTAACTGGTTTGATTATCTCTGAGACGCTGTTTGACTGCTGTAATAGCTGCTCTTTGTTTTTGAGTGGTAGCTGAGAAGTCAGGAAAGATGGAGACTCGATTTCCGTTGAACTTGATCTTATTGGGCGGCACAGTGGCTAAGTGGTTAGCACTTCTATCTGGCAGTACTAGGGACATCGGTTCAAATCCCAACCATGGGACCACCTGCCTGGAGTTTGCATGTTCTCCCTGTGCCTGCATGGGTTTTCTTGGGCTACTCCAGTTTCCTCCCACACTCCAAAGACATGCTGGTAGGTGAATAGGCTCTTGTCTAATTGTCCTTTGTATGTATGAATGTAAGTTAGGGACCTTAGATTGTACGCCCCTTGAGGGTTAGGGACTGATGTAAATGTACAACATATATGTAAAGCACTGTGTAAATGGATGGTGCTATATAAGTACTTGTAATAAATAAATAAAATAATAAATCTCAGGAAGAGTGCATGCAGCACACAGAATATACTCTTTATCCTTAAAATGGAGAAACTTTGCCAATAGAGGTATCAGCGGAGCCCCGGAAGGTGGTGGACGCATAGAAACGCGTGCTCAACAGCGAACAGGGCAGACAGAGTGTTTTTGCCCACTAGAGATTTCAGCCAATCTTCCAAGAATTCTTCAGGTTCTTTACCTTCCACTCCCTCTGGGAAACCTATAAATCTCAAATTATTGTGTCTAAGACGGTCCTGAAGGTCTCCTAGTTTCTCAGAATGATCTTTTAGGGTAGCTTGCTGGGCCCTTGAGTCAGCAGACAGAGGGTGCAAAGTATCTTCAGTGTCACTAATCCGTTGTTCCACATTAAAGGTCATCACAGCCAGAACAGAAAGGGAGGAAGATTCAAGGATCATGATTTTGGATAAGTAACAATCTGTTTTATACAATCCCCTAAAAGAAACAAATCCTTTATCAGTTGGGGGGATGGGAGTGGGGGAGAGGTGATGTGATGTAATGAATGCCTGCACTAGCTTAAAAAAATGCCTGCTCACTCAATCTTGGATGTTTGTGCAGCGACCGTCCAGATGGATCTCCAATATGATCAACAACAGGTGGGACTTTGGATTTTTATATTCCATCTTTATACCTCCCTGTGCTGCTCTTTGGTTATCCTGGTGGGGTGTAACGTATCCCTTCCACAACTCCCAGGCCAGAAATTATGTGGTGGTCACCATTTGGAGGTGTTACAACAATGATCTTGTTATGAAGCTGGTTTCTTATAGATTTTATATGGGTGGCATCTACTAGTGAAGAAGTGAAGATTCACACGTTAAGTTTTATGATGGCTTCCTTTTTAGTAATGTGATTATGTGGCAATATAGGAGGGGAGTTCAAGCCAAACGTGACTTTTAATTATACAGGTATAATAAGGGATGCTAGCGTGGCAGTACTACATGCAGTAGTAAGTGGCAAGTGTGACCTATTAATGATAGGCGGCACACATGTTGCGAGTCAGTCCAGAGACCGTTAACCAAGATGGCAGACAACAGTTTTGGTGCGTGCATGGAACAGCATGTGGTGGTGAAGTTTCTTGTGAACGAAGGCATAAAACCTGCAGATGTCTACAGAAGACTTCAAGCACAGTACAGTGAAGAGATGCTCAAACACAGTAAGACATTTCAACGGTGTAAATGTTTCAAAGGTGGCTGTACATCCATCAGTGATGATCCTGGCCATGGTGGTTCCCAGCCCACAGCAGTCATTCCTGTGAACATTTAGCGCGTGGAACACCTTAAGTAAGGGCAGATGATTCATATAGCATTTACTATAGTACCTTGCCATCGGGCAAGTGTACTTAGCTGAGAAAGATCTGCCTCCCCTTTAATGTACCGTCCTATCAATTTACGTATGCTAGCAGCATATGATTTAAAAACATTTCATGCTGATTGAGAGTGTAAAGTTTTGCCCCCACACAAGGTAAACCTCTGCAAACTGGCAAAACAATAATAATTATAACCAAACCACCCCCCCTCAAAAAAAAAACAAATGTTATCCAAAGATTTCATAACCTAAAAAGTCACATGGGGGGGTTAATAAAACAGTTTTTTAAAAATAATAAACATGTCTATACTTACCTGCTGTGTGTGCAGTAGTTTTGCACAGAGCAGCCCGAATCCTCTTCTTCTTGGGTCCCCCGCCAGCACTCCTGGCCCCTCTCTACTGTGGGGTGCCCCCACAGCAAGCAGCTTACTATGGGGGCACCTGCTGCTCCGAGCGTCCATTCACACACGAGCTGTGGCTCAGCCCCGTCCCCACTCTCTTCTCATTGGCTCACTGGCTGTGATTGGCAGCAGTGGGAGCAAATGAGGAGAGGGAGTGCCAGGATAGCCGAGACTCCAGTGCACATCGCTTAGGTGAGTATTAGGGGGGGCTGGGGGGGATGCTGCACAGAGAAGGTTTTTTGCTTTCATGCATAGAATGCCAGAAGGTAAAAAACCTTGAGCCTTTAAAACCACTTTAAGCTTGGAAATAAAACCAGGAAACTGATTGGTTTCTATGCAGCGCTGTACCAGATTTTTCACTCTCCTGCTTTAACCTCCATTTCCAGAACTTTATCATGAATTCCATGTAAAAATAGCCACCAAAGATCCATTATCTCCTGCGCTCAAAGACTCAGATCAAATGGACGTTAGTAACAAACAGCGTGTTCATCCGCTGGTGATCAGAGGTTGTGCAGCTCCATCATGAAGCTGGGGAAGCTTGATAAAACTGTAGAAGGGGATGAAAAAAAGAGCGCACAAACCTTGCGCATTACCTCAATAAATAGTGACTAATTTTATTTTATTTAGGAAATATACTCACAAAAGTGACGGTAAAACAGGCTTAAGTAAACGCGTTAGCTTTTATCCCCCCTTTGGATTTAGCTGTAACCCTGTGTGGATTATGGTTTACTTAAGCCTGTTTTACCGTCACTTTTGTCAGTATATTTCCTAATAAAATAAAATTAGTCACTATTTATTGCGGTAATGCGCAAGGTTTGTGCGCTCTTTCTTTCATCCCCTTCTACCGTCTAAAAATAGACATTGAATTTACGGGTTTTACAAAGTCTAAAATTAGCACATATGCAAATAATCCAAGGTTGAAATATTGTCGGCAGACATAACTGTGGTCGAATTTGTGTTCATTTTCTGGATTTACTTATTTCCATAATATTCTTTCGTAATCGTGTACCAGAAACATCAGCACATTTTGCTGACTTGCCATTGCTGCCATTCATAGAACATATTTTATTCAATGAACACATAGGGATTGATTTATAAAACTGGAGAGTGCAAAATCTAGTGCAGCTCTGCAGAGACCAATCAGCTTCCAGGTTTTATTATCAAAGCTTAATTGAACAAGTTGAAGTTAGAAGCTGATTGGCTACTATGCACAGCTGCATCAGATTTTGCACTCTCCAGTTTTGATAAATCAACCCCATGGTGTTCTCTGATTCGTTAAGCTGGAGATTGTGATGTCACTGCCTCTCCACATTGTCCAATCAGAGAATGCTTTCTATTCACTGAAACAAATCAAGGTGTTCTGAAAATAGCAGCACTGCCTAGCAAGTAACCCTTTATGTTCAGTGGAGTAGCCTCTTGCAGAAAATCTCAACAGGACCCAGAAGATATTTTGTTTATTTATACAGGTAGACACAGTGCTCAGCATAAATGAGTACACCCCTTTTAAAAAGTAAGATGTTAATCACAGGGGCGGACTGACAACTCATGGGGCCCCTGGGCAATAGGGGATCATGGGGCCCCTGTGTCCTTGCCCAAACTCAAAAAATCCTATGAAAAAGGTACCAGGGGCATCTCATGGGGCCCCCTACTGACCCCGGACCCTTGGGCAGTGCCTGAGTTTCCAAATGGTCAGTCTGCCCCTGGTTAATCAATATCTCAATGAACACAAGAACAATTTAAAAAAAATTGACAAAACTGAGTTTTATAGAACATTTCTTGAGCTCACTACATGAAAGTAAGGTTAATAACATGACAGATTACAAAATCTTCAGTTTTACTCAAACTAGTAGATGAAAAAATGAATACACCCCACAACAAAAACTACTACATCTAGTATTTTGTATGACCTCCATGATTGGTAAGGACAGCACCAAGTCTTCTAGGCATGGAATGAACAGGTTGGCGACATATTTGCAACATCTATTTTTTTCCATTCTTCAAGAACAACCTCTTTTAGAGCCTGGATGCTGGATGGAGAGTGATGCTCAATTTGTCTCTTCAGAATTCCCCATAGGGGTTCGATTGGGGTCAGATCAGGAGACATACTTGGCCACTGAATCACTTTCACCCTGTTCTTCAGAAATGCAAGAGTGGCCTTAGATGTGTGTTTTGGAGCATTGTCACGTTGGAAAAGTGCACGATGACCAAGAACACAGAGTGATGGTAGCATTTTCTCTTGCAATATGGAGCAGTACATCTGTGGATTCACTAAACTATCAATGAAATGCAACTCCCTGACACCAGCAGCACTCATGCAGCACAGAAGCACACTGCCACCACCATGTTTCACTGTAGGCAATATGCATTTTTCTTTGTACACCTCACCTTTGTGACAACATACAGTTTTGAAGCCATCAGTTCCAAAACATTTATCTTGGTCTCGTCAATCCAGAGTACAGAGTCCCAGTAGTCTTCTTTTTCAGCATGGGCCCTGGCAAATTCTAGGCGGGCTTTTTTGTTCATGGGCTTTAGGAGAGGCTTCCTTTGTGGACGACACCCATGTATGCCATTTTTCTGCAGTGTGTGCTGTATTGTGTCACAGGAAACAATCATCCCAGTTTGGCTTTCTGCTTCTTTAGCTAACTGCAGTGAACTTGCATGGCGATTTTCTTCAACCCTTCAGAAGACGCTCCTGTCGAGGTGTTAACTTCCATGGATGGCCTGGATGTCTCTGTGAGATGGTTGCAGTTCCATCTTTCTTAATTTTGTTTTACCACTTTTGCTACAGTATTCTGACTGATATGTAAAGCTGTGCTGATGTTCTTGTAGCCTTCATCTTTCTTGTATAAAGAAATTATTTTCTTTCTCAAGTCTTGTGGCATTTCTTTTCCATGTGGTGACAGCATGACATGGGAAGGGGTTTTCTTTGTTAAGTAACGCCCTTTTATAATTAACTGTCTGCTGGACACCTGTTTGTTAATGAATAATTAGACTCACCTGTAGTTGAAATCTTGTTCATTAGGATTTTGTTGTCTAAAATTTAGCTTTGCTCCCAAGACTTTCATTGGGGTGTATTCATTTTTGCAACATGGTCTTGAATGAATTTGTTAGGAAAAATACTTTTTGTGTGTGCAAATTGACAAATCTTGTTTGCAATCAATGGCCCGTATTTGTGGTAGCATTTTATAGTATAGTGTCCCATTGAAAATGTTGATTCTGAAAGTAAAGTAAAGGTTTTCTGACAAATCTGTTGGGGTGTACTCATTCATGCTGAACACTGTATGTAGCACCTCCAATTTACATATATATTGTACATTCACATCAGTCCCTGCCCTCAAGGGGTGTACAATCTAAGGTCCCTAACTCACATTCATACATACACATACTAGGGCCAATTTAGACAGGAGCCAATTAACCTACCAGAGTGTGGAAGGAAACTGGAGTACCTGGAGGAAACCCAAGCACAGGCACAGGGAGAACATGCAAACTCCAGGCAGGTGGTGCCATGGTTGGGATTTGAGCTAACCACTGTGCTGCTCTATAATGAGTGATCACTGAGCTGTAGAATCTCATTGTTTGCTCTATACCATTGGTCTCCAAACTGCAGCCCTTTGCTTGCCTTTATCCGGCCCTTGGGACGCTATTCCTGTCATTGATATGAGGCATTGTTCCTTTTATTGATATCAACCATGAGGTACCATTCTTTCCATTGACACCAACGGTGGGGCATAATTTCTTATACTGACAACAATTAGGGGTCCCTTTTCCTTTCACTGACTGGAAAGATGGGGCAATATTTTTTTCACTGACACCAGCAATGGGGCACTATTTATTTCACAGGCATCAACAATAAGGCACTACTCCTCTCACTGACACCAAAGATGGGGTATGATCCTTCCCACTGAAGCTAATGATGGGGCACTATTCCTCCCACTGACACCAAAGATGGCGCACTATCCCTTCCACTGACACTAATGATGGGACACTATTCCTCCCACTGACACCGAGAATGCGACACTATTCCTCCCACTGACACCAATGATGGTGCACTATCCCTTCCACTGACACTAATGATGGGACACTATTCCTCCCACTGACACCAAAGATGGCGCACTATCCCTTCCACTGACACTAATGATGGGACACTATTCCTCCCACTGACACCAGAGATGGCGCACTATCCCTTCCACTGACACTAATGATGGGACACTATTCCTCCCACTGACACCAGAGATGGCGCACTATCCCTTCCACTGACACTAATGATGGGGCACTATTCCTCCCACTGACACTAATGATGGGGCACTATTCCTCCCACTCACACCAAGAATGGGACACTATTCCTCCCACTGACACCAACGATGGGGCATTATTCTTCCCCCAATTGACCACAGGCACAATGTAATTTTTTTCATTTTCACTGACCACCAAGCCTCAGGCATTTTCTACTCCCACTGGGCACAGTCTGGCCCTCCCATAGTCTGAAGGACAATAAACTGGCCCATTGTTTAGAAAGTTTGGAGACCTCTTCTCTATACAGATCTGTGTTCTCAGTGACAGAGCTGGGTCCATCCAGTGGCTCTGAGAAGGAAATGCGTTTGCTCAGATATCAATCCTATCTTTGCTGGACAAGTTCATGTAGCATTCAGGAGGTATAGGAGCCAGCAGCCAGCAAATGTGCATTTCCAGAGACATAAATAGAAAAGACTCCAGGGTAGGCTCCAGGATAATTGTGTAAATATGAATTTCAGGCCTTCTATTCAGCCTTAAAAACTCCTCTCCTTTCCCTGGCCCGCTCCTTTTATTTATTGGATTTCAGTTCTTTCAATCATGGAGGCTCAGCATCACATTTCGTTGTTACCTAGGGTGGTCTGCATGTAAATCCAGCATGTCTAGTAGCCCACTCCTCCACCCTGACATCCACCCATTAAGGCTTTTTGATATTTACATAACTCCACCAAAGATCCAGCCCACTGATTGAACCAGGTTTGAGGCAGGGTACTGTGATGTTTTCAGTAAGCTATGTACCTGCCAGCCTCTCAAACCAGCCATGAGCTGTCTCCATTGCATAGAGAAGCACAGAGACCCAGCAATAACTAGTCTAAACTAGAAAAGCTACAATTTCTGGGGAAATTGTGTGAAGTGTTCTTGCCTCCACCAGTAGTCTAGGGCTTGAAAATGAGGGAGTGGTGGCAGTTTAGAAATCATGTACTGATTTTTCAGCTCACACTCTAGCTTTTGTCACTCTGCTGACTGCTCACACATCTGGGTTCCTATGGCAACTCACTCTACAGCACGGGCAGAGAAGAACGGTTAAAAAACAAACTGCTCCAACTTGCTCACTTCACTGGCAATTGCCATCTTCAAACGGTTGTAGTTTAAAAATTATAAATCCTACACCGAAGAGCTTTATATTGTGAGAATCCCAAAACCCAGACCTACATGTTGATGCATAGTATGTCTCTGAAATATTAAAAAAATGAAGGCACAATCGCAGTTTAGAAATTGCCTTCAAATTTGAGGTGGCTAGATTGGAGTTTCAATGAATGTCAATGGGCGGCGTGAGTTGCAAACAAATGGTCATATTGTGAAAACTATCAGGACAATGGCTTAGCCGTGGACAGTTTTAGTGGCAGCAGGGATAGCTGAACGTTTTGATATAAGATTTGTGTAGGTGGGCTTGAAAATGAGGGAGTGATGGCAGTTTAGAAATCATGTCCTGATTTTTCAGCTCACACTCTAGTTTTGAACATTTCTCCATTCATTCCTATGGGACCAATTTCACCACAAAAACGCTGATATTTCGTGAACCATTTGGCGAAACATTCCACACAGTAATAGCACACCAATCGGGAACAATCCGCACGTTTCGGTATATTACTGTCTATGTAGTGTAAAAACTGTGGGAGGAGTTAGGGTGGTAAATTTGGCTATAATAATAAGAATATATATGTGAGATAACAGTAAGTGGTCTTGCCATGCAAGAACACTTAAATAAGGTATGTAGTTAAATATGAAAGGTTTTTTTTTGAAAAATGTCATTAGTATGTTCATGATAAGGGAAAGGAGGAAACTAGGAAGGCAAAATGTAAGCAGTTAAACTTAAAACTCACTTTAAGGTTTTATAATTTAGGAAACCAAGTGACAGCAGGGATCAAAGTACATATTTGCCAGCACACCACTGGTCATCAAAGTTGCCCGAAGAAACTTTTCTTTATTGGAGAATGATCAAATCACAAAAAGAAAGGTGCAAAATTTTTCGAGCTGCATGGGACCCCTTCATCAGGTATGTGATGATCAAGCCATGCTTTATGGAGTCCTGTGCGACTCTGAAATGTTGCACCTTTCTCTTTGTGATTTGATCATTCTTTAATAAAAAAAAGTTTCTTCGGACAACTTTGGTGATCTGTGGTGTGGTGGTAAAAGTGGTTGTAAAGGCTCAAGGCGTTTTACCTTCATGCATTCTATGCATGAAGGTAAAAACCCTTCTGCATGCAGCAGTGCCCCCAGCCCCTTCAATGCTTACCTGAGCCTTATCGTAATGCAGCGATGTGAACACCAGCCTCGGCTATCCCAGGTCTTTGCCTCCTCATTGGCTGAGACAGCAAGCGGGAGCCATTGGCTCCCGCTGGTGTCAATCACAGCCAGCCAGCAAATGAGGAGAGAGAGGGGGTGGGGGTGAATGGACACATGGAGCAGCGGGTGCCCCCAAAGCAAGCTGCTTGCTGTGGGGTCACCCTACAGGAGCAAGGGGCCAGAAGAGTCTGTTTCCAAAATAAAAAAAAAAAAATGAACATTTAGAATCGCTTTAAAATGTACATTGAGGGGGCGCATGCGCGCGGCCGGCCAGCGGATGATAGCTCAGTGAGCAGAGCTCCTTCCGCCCGCCCTCCAGGATCATGACCAAGCGCAGGAAATCATCAGGGCAACCAAGGGAGCTCACAGATTTCTTCCCAGCCCTTGGTCCCTCTGGACAAGATGGCGCCGGCTGCGTGACAGGCAGCATCTCCTCACTTGAGGGAGACACACAGGACGGCACAGAATACCATCTGGACCCCAGGCTTAAGACCACACTATATCCAGGAGATCGATCTGGGTGAGTCCTTTCCTCCCCTGTCTCCGACCACTAGTAGTCCAGCCAAGTCTGGACCTAGATTGGATGCAAATGTCCCCACTGACAGACAGCCTGCTTCTCTACTCTCAATTACTGACACCATTTCTCCATCTCTGATTGATACTTATCCTGCCTCTGACCAGCCTATCACAGAAATCTCTTTGAAAAATATGCTTCTGTCTCTGCGACAAACGCTCCACAGCGACCTGACAGCGACTATATCCCAAATTTCCAATACAGTCCAAGAACAAAAACAACACATTCATCATATTGAAAACAAAATAGGTGAAATGTGTACTGCGCATAATGTCCTCATTGATGCACACGCAGGCCATGAAGCTGAAATTGATCAAATTAACCTTAAATTAGAGGATCGCTGTAGGCGAAACAATATTAAATTCCGCGGTATACCCGAATCTATGACAGTGGACGCCATAGTCCCATTCATCCAACAGCTTATGAAGCACATCATCCCTACACTCACGGATGTGGAATTAGCTATAGATTGGGCACATCGAATCCCTAAACCAGCATTCCTACCGGCAGCAATCCCCAGAGATACTCTGGCACACATACATTTCTATCACATGAAGGAGAGAGTAATGTCAGCCGCCAGAAATCCCAACGCTATTCCGGCAACACACGCAAATATCAAAATATTTGCTGATTTTTCCAAAAGGACACTCCTTAACCGTAAAATGTACATTGATGTGTGATGTTTCCAGTTGCCCACTGGATGTTGTTACAGTAGAGGGGCGGACTGACCATTTGGAAACTCGGGCACTGCCTGAAGGCCAGGAGTCAGTAGGGGGCCCCATGAGATGCCCCTGGTACCCTTTTCATAGGCTTTTTTGAGTTTGGGCAAGGACACAGGGGCCCCATGATCCCCTATTTCCCGGGGGCCCCATGAGTTGTCAGTCCGCCCCTGTTACAGTACCCACTACTCCTGAGCCTGACCCAGGAATGTGTGCGATGGGAATATTAATAATATCAAATGACAGCAGTGGACACATTACCTTCCTGTTCATTCCAATATTTCACAAAGTACAACTTAAAGAGTTAGTTCACTTAAAAATAAAAAATCCCACCCCCCCCAGGTCCCCACTCTACTTATTGTTGTGAATGATGAGCTGTCAGTGCTCATGCAGCCGGCGTAGTAGTGAGGGGGATATGAAATACCAGCTTTTTGCCCCCCTTCTTTCTGCAGAGCTTCTGGGATGGATCAGAGCCACTTTAATTGGTCATCGTCAACGTGTGACCAAACAGAATAACTCTTATATGTCCCAGGAACCCTACAGAAAGAAGAGGAAGAAGAGTGGGGATTTCAAATACCTGGGATGCTACACTGGCTACAAGAACACTGACAGCTTGTCACCCACAGAGGTAAGTACAGTGGGGACTGGAGGAGGGGAGGGGATGTTGGGTGTTAGTCCACCTTTTCATTTTTTTCTGAAACGGTTAGTATTTGTATAAATTAAATGATGCTAAACACACACTGTTCAGTTTACATGATCTCTTCTCTTTCTGTATGTGGATGATGGCACCGTAGTTATTTTTATTTAAAGCGAAGTACCTTTTTTCATAATCGATAAACAGCTGTCATGTGACCCAGCTCTTTCCCAGCCCCTCTGCATGGAAATATCAGTGGGAGGAGGTTCTAGTGCCAATCACATGTTTAAAAAAAGCCTTTGAAATACAAAGGAAAAATACATAATTAATATAAAATAAATGTTTTACATCATCATAAAAATATGTATTTGAACTCAAATCTTTAATATTTTTGCGCAAAAACATGGAGTGGGCTATCTAGGGGGAGGCTCTGTCAATCACAGTCTGTTTCACTTCACTCCAGCCTGTGCCTGTTGTTTGTATGTGCTTAGAATTACAGGGAGGTGAAGCCTCCATAAATAAACATGTAATATCCCACCCCATAGTGATTAGCTGTTTAGTGGGCATAGAGGAAGAAGGAGGGAGTAGGCTGTCTGAGTGTATATGCCCCCATTTGTGACTCTATAGTCATGTGGGCTGCACAGATAGGAAAAAGTAGGAAATAAACATAGAGCGGAAAGGATAGAATAGAAAGGAACTGAAACTGGAGCAAGCTTAGTAGATGCATCAACGGCTGGTCTACAGTGTCTCAGGCTGCATCGGGGACCAAGACGTGGAGGGAGGGACACTGACTAGCGTGATCAACCAAGGTATTTGCAGAACACAGAAAAAAAATCCCATAGTGAGTATGAAAAGCATGTAATGCAGCATGCACTGACATTTTTTAATGGCGTAGGTTTAATGACACTTTAACTTCTCGGGTTTGGTATCTTTTTTTGGGATGCTCAGGAACAAAAAAGATGACACTACTGTAGGTGACTAAAGTTCCTCCCCAGGAAGTGAGTTGAATTCTCCAACAAAAACAAAGACAGAATTAATAATTCCCCCTCCTAGCAGCATATGTAGTGCCCTTCTAGCATAGGGTGCTAGGAAATTGAGTGTTTGGCCCCTTCTGGAATCAAGGGAGCATTAATTATTTGTTTTGGCCTGTTTAGGGTTTCACAGGCTGGGAGTTTGATTGATTCCCCCTGACTCTAGAGAAAGCTTCTAGAGCTTAGGAAGGTAGATTCAGATAACCAGCCTGCATAGTTATCATACTTCAGCCAATCCCTGAAGAGAAGCATCCAGTAGGGGGACAGAAAAGTAGTAAATAGTCTGAAGCACTGGAGAACTGAGTCTCTCTAGACAGAAGGGTTCCAGACCCCGATGGGCTGCTGCCTTCCATCAGCACATGGAGTGTATATCTGTCCTTGAGGCCTCATTGGTGTCAGGGCTGAGATCCTGGATGGATCTGCTTAGGAGATGATTGCGGAAACTCACCACAAGGGATCTGTACAATGTTCGGAGGAAGCTGGAAGGTGGCAGCTGTTCCGGGGCTTGTGCGTAAAGACCCTAAATTGGTCCCTGTGACTGTGTAGTGTTTTGAAGATTGCACTGGGTACTAAAAGTTGTACACTGGCACAAGGTAACCAGATGCCAAGGAGACTTGCTTCATGGTTTTCATTTGTGAGGCCTTAGACTGTCTAGATAACTCTTCATGGTCCCTAGCTGTGAGGCCTCAGACTAGGATTTCTCAACCAGGGTTCCATAGAACTCTAGAGTTCCTTCAGAGATTGCTAGGGGTACCTTGAGCAATGAGCAATTTCTGCCAATCAGTTAACTTCTCACTGTCACGATTGATAATTTTAGCTATCTGTAAGGAGGTAATTGTTCTCAATGACCACAAGTGCAAGGTGCATTCTTTCCACTGGCCATCTCACTAATGTATCTCACCGTATGAGTTGTAGATACAGTAATTTTTAGAAGGGGTTCCCCGAAACCGGAAATTTTTTTCAAGGGTTTCTCTGCATTGAAAAGCCATTCCCTAAACTGATTCATTGGAGCTGGAGTGTATGGATTGGTACTTGTGGTGATGGGCAGCCTTTGTACTTTTAGGGAAGAACCAGATTATACCAGTGGCCCCTACAGAGGTAGCACTACACATAGAACCTAAGAAGACTAGCCCTATTGTCAGACTTTAATTCTTGTCTGTGTCCAAGTTACAAATTCTCGCTCATTTCCTGTGTGGTAAAATTGGTTTCACCTAAAAAGGTGAAAAAGGGAAATATCTCCAATGGAACAACATACAGCTTTAAAACCAGATAGGTGATTCTGTTCCTTCCACAAACAAAGACATTGGACTTTCCCTACACTTGAATAAATAGGTTTGAATGTACAAAGCCCCATTCATTAGATTCTGAGTAGGCCAAGGTAAGGACAATGGTGACTCACCAATGTACTCTCCTGACTGCAGAACATTATGATGATGGGTGTGTTTACGTACCAGCTATGCAAGGAAGCCAGAACATTGATGGGAGCTTTGTCTTGGCAAATACTTTGCCTGGAGGGATTGAGGTGGACAATGGCCATGTAAACACCTTACAGCCATTTGTGATGTAGTGAGAGGAGTGTCTGCCTGCTTTCATCTATATGAGGGCACAGTTTTTGTTAAAGCACCTTGCTATCATGAGTACTTTCTTTTAGTGCTCAGATAAATATCAGACAAACCCCTTCAGGTAGATCTCAGCTCTCACACCTTTAGGGATATGCTGCCCTATACTGTCTGTAAGTGGCTGAACTACTTGATGTTCACAGAGGTGTTCCTGTAAATCACTTCCAGTCTCTCTGTATCTGGATAGAAAACCCCAGAGGGAAAAAGTAAATAGAGAGTCTAATATCACATGTCCTGCTATAGAAGAGCTGCCACTAACCCAGGCCAGAACCAGGGATTATTAGGCAAGTGTTCTTGTGTTTAATAGTTTGCTATTGCTGCCCATTGATGTCCCTTCTGGTCTGGAATTCCATAGCTAGTTTTAGTTTAGGGCTCAATAACCAGCATTGGCTAGAGCCAGGTTAGACATCCTACAGCTACGTCTGCTAGACAGAGGTCCGATTGCATGACAGATCAGAGACTACTAGAGACGCAGAGTAGAAAGACTGACTTTGAGTTCCGGTAGCACACCACAATTTCTGCTGGTGAGAAGCTGCATTCCTGGCTGGTTGTACAGCAGTTGGAGGATATCCCCATCACTGCTGATCTTGTCATCAAGTCTCTGTCACAGACAGATGACACATCATGATCATCCTCAGGGGCACCTGCAATTGAACTTTGCAACATTCATTTAGAGGTGCCTTTATTAATAACTATTTATACCCAGGTATATGTGCACAATTTCACCAGGACTTGAGTTAGGTTGCTGATAGTACCTGTTTGTCCATTGGATATACAGTATGTACTGGTATTAATCTTTTCTTATATAAAGCTTGTGTTATTTCCATACCTGTGTGCATCTATATACTTATGGTAATTTTATAATTATTTTATTTATTATTCATTTTTACTGAAGTAGTTTGTTTGCTCCCAATTACTTTGTGTAGAGTAATGGTTAATTTCCCAGGAAGTGAATCCCCTCTGTTCACAGAGGTCCTGTCCTGGATGGAAGCACTGCCAACTTTATTATTCTTCCACTTAGCTAAGGTTCTGGTTCTTTAATTTACCTATGGGTCCCCAAAACAAGGGCTACACCTGCAATGACCACTGTAATGGAATCCTGCTCAGAGAAACAGTACTTGGATCATAACCCCCCCCCCCCCAAAAAAAAAGAGGGCTACACACAAATTCACTATGGCCAGGTGCTTTTCCAGTTTAACGTACCAGCACATAGGGATCAAGCGTATTAAGGATTTATTGCAGAACCAGACTGTTGAAAATATCTTTCTGAGTTTATTAAACAGCACAGGATACAGTTACTTCATATTCTTGATATTTAGCTTCGATTAGTGGTGGGTTTTTTTTTACATTCCAAAGTAACCTTTTTTTTAATACTAATTTAATCTTTGCAAGCTAAAATTTAAGACAATTTAAAAAAATATTCCCCAATTGTGAAATTTTGCTGAAATTCACTGATCATCCCTATTGATGTTATAATCTCATCATAGACAAAGGCACTGTATAGAGCTCAAGGAAAATGTTTAAATGATGAAAGGTGGAGCTGTTGTGATTAATAAGTGGCCCCCAAACTGAAGCCCATGGACATGATGCAGCCCTTTGCTTGCCTTTATCTGGACATTATTCCTCTCACTGACACCAACAGTGGGGTACTATTCCTCTCACTGACACCAACAGTGGGGTACTATTCCTCCCACTGACACCAACGATGCTGGGACAATTTCTACTCCCACTGGCCACCCACAACCCCACCTAAAGTCTGAAGGATAGTAAACTTGGCCCTTTGTTTAGAAAGTTTGGAGACCCCGGAGATAATTGATATTGTGACCCCTATAATGAGTGATATTGTTGCAGACTTGTAACCTTAGACATTAACATGATAGCATCAGATTGGTCTGTTATACTTTATATCTGGGAGACTTTTCTGTCTCTACAACCAAACTGAAAACCTTATTTGCATAGCATATGTCAGAAATCTGAACAAAATTTCAGAGAAAGATTCAGTTTATTCTATTATTTCCTTTCTACTAACATATTATGGTGTTATCTCCTGAAGGCAGGATCAGTTTGGCAAGGGACACAAGCGCAGAGTTTGATGACGGTTTTCTCTTGTGGTTGTGCTGTCGCAGAAATGAATACCTAAAACCAATGAGAACAGGCTTGTCATTTATTTATTTGTACTCATGTTGTGCACATTTAAGATGATTGGTTGACATGGCTTACCACACTGCACATTCTGCCTTACTAAATTATACAATACCAAAAAAAAAATCATCATATGTTTTATATACAGTATAGACCTGTTATTATATTTTGTATAAGTTACAGAAATTTACAGGACCATTCCACTATATACTCTATTAGTGAAATCTATGCACTGGGGGAGATTTACTAAAATTGGTGCACTCAGAATCTGGTGTAGCTGGGCATGGGAGCCAATCAGCTTCTAACTTCAGCTTATTCAATTAAGCTTTGACAATAAAACCTGGAAGCTGATTGGTTTCTATGCAGAGCTGCACCAGATTTTGATTGCTCCAGTTTTAGTAAATCAACCCCATTAAGTTGATGGATTTGCACACCTAGGGGGTAATTTACTAAAACTTCATGGTACAAAATCTGGTGCAGCTCTGCACAGGAACCAATCAGCTTCCAGGTTTTATATTCAAAGCTTACTTGAATAAGCTGAAGTTAGAAGCGAATTGGCTACCACGCACAGATGCACCAAATTCAGAGTGCTCCAGTTTTAGCAAATCTACCCCGTAGTTTGCCCTTTATAAGAATATAACAGGAGAAGCTTGGGCACCCCAACCTGAACAAGGATACCCCATGGACGGCAGGAACACTTAGTAGGCAGATCCCATAATTAGAGGTCTGTAAAGTCATCTAGCCCTTCCTTCCCCACCAACTGTATCAGTAATAAAGATTCACATGCATGGAGTCTAGAGAGGAAACAATATAAAAGGTCCAAGCATGTTTAATAGTAATATTGTTCCTCTAATCTCAGACCTTTTATTTGCTGCTCTCACTAGACTTCATGTGATTCTGAGTCCTCCGTTTGATGGGTGCCCCATTTTTAATGAGAACAGCCTCATTAGAGCCACTGTGCCTTGTCAGTCTCGATCCATCTATAATCTGAATTCCAGCACCTCATCTCTACTTGCTCTACATCAATAACTGAGAAACCTCTTTGGGGTGAAGTGGTCATTGTAACGGCTCAACTTTTACATCTATATTTTTTAAAGGAAAAAGGATATCAGACAGTTTTACTCTTTTTTTAGGATTGTTCACATCAATCCCACCACATACAAGGCATTGTTTCCAATGGTGTCAGTTCAATGCATTGCTCTGCAGTGGTGTGTGCTGAAAAGAAGTACCATTTGATGTGAAGTGGTGTGAAGGAGTCTTTAAAGTTACACTAAACAATCTCTATATACAATCTCTAGAAAAGTCTTTATCAATAGCAATTTTCAGAAAGCAGCAGATCGGTATCAGTTAGAAGTAAGAGCCCACTGGGCTGAAACGCGCTAACAGTTTTCTCTGTGGAACGGTGATGATGTCTGTGACGTTTTAATCATTCTAATAAAGAAGCTGAAGATTTCTATAGAGTTTCAGTGTGCGGTTATCCATTCTAACTTTCTCTACATGTCATGGCTAAGAGCTGAGACTACACTCATGGTGGATTAGGGGCACAGGTTAGGTGGACCATCCTGGACTAGTGTTTGTGCTTTGGCATATCAGCATCTGTTACCAGTAGAGCTGAAAAGAAAATGAGGTTCCTTGTGGTGCTATTTTAAAGGCTCTGTTGTAAAATAACTGACTTTAACCACTTCCTGCCCACGATCTGAATACATTCGCTCTCAGGATGCCCCATATCTTAATAAGGATCCCCCTTGTGAGAACCATCATTCGAAACTCTGCTCATCTGCTGGCTCTCAAACCCAACTGTCATTGATAGTCCTGATCCCCCCCACCGATGACTGGAAACCAGTCAGAATGGTTCTTATCTCTTTGTCAGATATAAGATAGTGATCATATGAAGGCTGGAGGTTTTATTAACAAAATAAGCCCTCAGTCTGCAGGTATTGCTGCAATCTACAGGTAGACTTTTTTTAATACTGTAATTGCAGATTTAACCTAATGTCTAAAGATAAATTAAAAGAATAATAAAACATTAATAATAACTAAAACAACAGAAAAAAAAAGCTACATACAATGTTCCATCCCTTCCATATTGAATGGTAACAGTGGAGGCACCGAGCTCCAGGTGAAAAATATTTGGCCAGTCACTGTGCCATTGAAATATCACTTTGTTGATGTTCCCAGCACTGATCTTGGCATCTATAAATGCAGAATATGATGTGTCCGGAGTGATGATTCCTCTGCAAATGGAAAAAGACTGTCAGTGTTTATAGAGAACCTGTCAGTAGGGTCTGCCATCACTATGCCATTTCCTACGTGTCTCTCAAGAAGACAGAAGAAGAGAACAGTGTGTACAATTCCCACAGTCCCCAGTCCCTTTGGTTACAGACCACATGTAAGTATTAACATGCCTATAGATTGTGTGATCCGCTGCCTTTTCACTGAAATCTTGTAGAGTAATGTATAAGGAGCCCTGAATCTCCCGTGTGCCCACAATGTGGACTGTCACCCGGCACCGCCAACCTGCCAAAACATAACTTCAATTATCCATCATGAAATGATGAGTCAGTGCAAACAATCATAAGTACTTTCTCCAACATTTTGCACTCAGTATGTACAAAGCACTAGAACTACTAATCAGTCATTATTTCATTATTTCATACTCAAGAATTATAATGGGGAGATCACTGGCATTCCCAAAAGATAAAGGAAGCGGTCAGTGATCCCATTCTTATTACATAAGCCAAAATAAGGTGCACTGCCCCTTTTAACAAATAAATAATCTGCTTGTTAGAGAAAAACACATTGGCCAAGGCCAGACACATGACGTCATCATGCATGATGGTGGGAGATCTTGCGGGGTTTACTGGTACAGAGATGCAGATGTTATATACAGCATTAGTAGTGTATTTGCTAAATAAAATAGAAGTGATTTTTATCTGCTTTATCTGCAGTTTCTCTCTGTGTTTACTTCTCCTGCTGACTGCATTTACTTAGGAACCCGCTGCTGAATTGCCACGGTTTGAGTGTTTGAAGCTGCAAGGCATCAAGGTGCAGTTTGATCCCCCTATGGTAATATTATGTCAGGGAATGTCTGAATGATTAATTTAGTCAGCTAAATTGATCAAATCACATTGCCTCCAATACAAAAATTATTTCTAAAAATAATTTTACTGAACTAATTAATTATTTTGAGTCAGTTTTAGCCAAGCAACATTCTTTAAGAACACACACTTAATATTAATATGTATTTACATCAGTCATGTACAAACACCACAATAACTATAATAGTCAGATTGTGATATACATAGACACTAAGATATTTGCGCAAAAATTCTAAAATAGAGTGAATACAATTCAGTAATTAATTTCCCCAATAAACAACATAAACAATGACAACTATAATCTGCTTTTTTTTTTTACGGAATTCAACTGTTATTCCCCTCCAGAAGGAATAAGTGTCAAACTACGCAAAACTGTATGCCACCAATGTGGCTTAAGAACAATAAAAAAAATTACCTAACTTGAATAGTTATGTTATGGTGGGGAGAGTTTATTAGGTTACAAAAATGAATATGGCAATTGGCTTGATATACTTAAGTAAACATTAATAATTTTAAAAATGATTAAAAACCGTTGAAATATAAAACATAAATTTCTTTTAGTTTTAAAATGTGTAGCACTACCCACTTAGGAGTTGCTGAGTTTTGGGTTCCCGCTATAGTTCTGCACGGCCATGCAACACGCATTTTCTTCACACTGGAGTCAGTAAATAGTCCTTGAGCTTGGTTTTATGTTTTATTAGGGGTATTGAACTTGATTGGGGTTAAGGGGGTATGGGATGCCCAAGGAAACTGCAAACACAAGGACAAACTCCTTAGCAACTATGTACAAGTCCATAGACAAAAGTCTCTCTTTTGAAGAACTCTCCATCCCTTCTGGTATACCACCTCAGACCTCACCTAGCTGCCCGAGGGAATCCCTGGGCAAGGGGATCCAGAAGCTGCCACTTTAGTAAAGCAGTCCCAGATGCGGAGCTAGTTGGGTTGGCCACCTGACTGCTCTCCCCTTATCTGGCCCAGGGGGTGTAGGATTACTTTCTTAGTTCTCTCCTGTAAGCTTAATGGGTTGGTGACTGCCTTCAGGCCTTACACTGGTCTGGCTCCTTCCCTGCTCCACATGTGGTCCTCTCTCAGGGGATGATGAGGCTGGGAGATCCTTCTTTCCAGCTCCTGCCTGCAGGTGGGCCCCTCCCAGGGCCCCCTCCCAGGCTCCACACTCCAGTCTTCACTCAATCTTCCACCCCACACTGACCACTTCCTGATCAAGCTCTCTCATACTTAAGGACTGTCCTGACCCCATGCCAAGCCTCCTGTTTGGGGATTGGTCAGAGTCCCTTGAGAATGCAAATCAGCCCATCCTCACCCTCACCCACTGCCTTCTAGAAGCTTCTCAAGCTTCTAGAGCAGGGAGAGGTTTTTGGGAACAGACCTGCAGAGCCCTCAGCCCTGACCAAAAGTTAACCTGGCTGAATCATCCCAGGCTGCTATCCAGCTTCTAACTAAAAAAACCTAGCTAGCGCCTCCTGGCTTACTAGAGGGGCACTACAAATGCCTTAATTATATTGAGTTTTATATGACACTTGAAATGTTTAATTTATTTTTAGACAGTTTCTCACAGGTTGACTTTGTATTAAAAAGTTCTCATACACAATGTCCTTCATTTGGTGGACAATAGAGATATACTGCCATGGTTTAAAACGTCCAAGAATATTGACTTTTTTTCACCTGGGCAAATAAAGTTTTTCCTGTCCACAATCCCATGTTTGGGATTTCTGAAGTTCTTGTAAACCTAGAGGTATAGTTTTATCCAGGGCTTTTTTTTCTCTGAAAATAGGTGTAGGAACTACCCCCTTCTGAGTCACCCCTTGTTTCCTCCCCCCTACCCACCTCCGGGCCCCCGTCACTACTTGATTCCTACCCCTACCCACCTCATTGTACTGCTCCTTTTAGAGGATACAGAGCCAATTAACATTTTGTATGGAATTTATTGATTACAAGAAAAGCAGTAAAATAGATCCCCTGCAGCCAGCAACAATAGCCCCACTCCAGCAATGGTAGATTCCCCCACAAAAATGGACCCCCGCAGCAAAATATCACCCCAGTAGCAACAACAGATCTTCCCTCAACAGTAAATCTCTTCCAACAACAATTGACACACAACGAGAATATCAGACGAATGATCGTCCGTTTTTTTTTTTTTGCATGCTAGTCTCGCTATCAAAAACGGAAACTTTTGTACGACAGAATAGAATTTCAAAAATAATGTAATGCATTGTATTATATTTTCGTACAAAAAACTGTCCTGATTAACCTCTTCACGCCTAAGGGTAAAACAAACAAAGCCTAAGTAAAATGTTACAACTTTGACATGTGTTAGTAAAACCGTACATATCATCACAACTACTTTGTACAACCAGGTGAATTATACCTCGTTTTTTTTCAGGACAAATTGGGCTTTCAATTGCGGGTAAATGGTAATGGATATCTCCTGATTTTTTTTATTATCAAAGAAAAACTGTCCAAAAATAATTTTTTAAAAATTTAGCTGTGTGTTTCTTGTTACTGCCATAACCTACCACCAAAGAACAACCCATAATACATTTTACAGCTCTTGACGATCATAGGGATACCATATATATTTTGATACCATATATGTGTATATTATTTGTTGCTTGTACCTGCACTACAGCCCAGAAACAATAGTGCACATTTTGGTTTTTGTTTTTTTTTACCTAAAACTAACTGACACTGATAACAATTTCAAACAAAAACCTGACCTTTGACCCTGACCTTGACCCAAAAACTAACCCTGGCACTGAACTAGATCAAACCTTGATCTACATATTTTTTCTTTATTTTTTTATTTTATTTTTAATATGTATTTATCTTTTTTTTTTTTTTTTTTTTTTTACAAATAGTTGTTTTTTGTTTGTTTTTTTCTTCAAGGAGAGAGAGAGAGATACCATGTATCTCTCTCCTCCATTCAGAGAGAAAAAAAAACTAAGAGGGGTGGGCTTCACAGAGACTGATCACTGTGATAGCCAATCAGAGGCTATCACAGCGATCATGTAACCCGGATCGGGAGTCCCTGGTCATGATCGTTAGTACGGAACCCAGGGCTCTCAGTGACAACGAGGTCTTTGTGCTGGGAGCGGGTTGTTTGGCATGCTCCCAGCAAGAAGACAGGTACGCAAATATGTGGACCCATGGAAAAAAGCCCAGTTCTGTGAGGCTGCATATTTATGTAATGTTGGTGTCAAAGGGTTAAACAAAAATCATACGATCTGATATCATACAAGAAAAATGTTCATGTTTGTCCCTTCGGATAATTTTGGATTAACTGTTGTGATTAACTCTTGAAAGCTGTGCACTAATGCTCATATTATCTTCATTTTTTGGCACATTTATTGATTTTATGCTAAAAGGGGCAGTGAACTTTATTTTGGCTTATGTAATGTGGAAAATGTCTGGTATGGAGACTGTGTAGGTGCTGCAGTCCAATAACATTTATTTTATTTTCATTTTGCATCAAGCACAGGCATTTTATGTTTGTATTCCATTTATAATGAAATTATTTTTGATGACTAAGGCTACATGATCTAATCACCCGGTAAATTCTGTAAGGGACAGAAATCATGTGAAGCTGGAGCAGATAATGCTGGAATGGCTGAAGAAAGTAAACATTTATTTAACTTCAACTACAGTCACAAAAATAGATACGCAGACAAATACACTTTAAATAATGACCTCCAATGTTATAGTCTTACCTTCACTATCATGGTACAATAGTTGTGCTCAGTGTTTAAATATACCTGTACAGTCCACTAGGAAGCGGAGTTACACCCAGTGCACTCAGCAATCAGCACTGGGCAAACATGCCCCCTTTACTCAGACACACCTTATCTCTGGTCAGACACTCCCCTCTGTGGTCAGACACACCCATCTCTTCCTCTACATTGTGAGTCTTTGTGAGACACAAATACTGAGGGGTGTGGCTGTACTGAAGGGTGTGATTGTTACTGAGCTCTGCCAGCATAGAGCACTGGAGGTGGAGGGGGAAAAGGACATGGAGCAGCATTTTCAAAAGGAGACAAAAAAGAATTTAAGGCATTTCCAAGCAACGATCATTTACAAATCAAACCATGCATATTTATAGGATTACAGACAGAAAAACATGTGAGACAACTAGGTTTTCATGCTAAAGAGTAGTTTTGATTAGAGGAGGTGAATAAGAAACAGATGAGAGATAACTCAAAACTCCTTTCCTAGGTACAAAAACCTAGAATACTCTACATGGTTCTTGTATTTATATACAGTAATAATTATGCTGAGTGTTTTTTTTTTTTACCTTTATATTTTTCTAGACTGATCACACTTATATAACCTTTTTTATACAATGTGATGATGTGTCCCAGGGGGCCCAGAATTCTTAATGTTGCTTTTTTCATTGATGTTGTGTTTTCCTGCCTCAAACCCCTTTATACCAGAGAATAAAGATCGATCCAAGGGCAGAGACGCTCATCCAAAACACCTAGTAAGAACTGTCCGCATGCAGGAGAACACCAAATACTACAATGAACAATGACTGGGAGCAGAAGATCTTCTCCTCCTTTATATATAGGGATACCTCATCTGGCACCAGATCCTGCTTCTCATTCTAAATTGCTCCTTCTCAGGATTAGTGCATTCTTTACCTTCCCTTCAGACAGCGGTGGTTATAAGGGGCTCCTAAGGAGTTCTATCAGCTAGTAGGGTAGCTCAGACATGGATGCGAGGTAGCTCAGACATGGACTTAGTTCTCCTGAAGGCCAACTATAACTAACTGAAAAAAAAGCTGCAACCTTTTTGGAGAACAAATAACTTCTAATTTAACAGATACATGAAACGGGGAGACAACTGAGTGCTTTACCAGTATAATGTAATGAAGGGTTACCAGAGATACTTACGGGAGTAGATCTGCATAGCTCCAGTGTTTAGGTAAAATGTTTGGTTGACTGAAGAGACTCCAGAATATTTATCAGCATAATGTCCCATCATTGGACACCCAGTGTTGGGGCATGGAAACCCAGAACCCTGAGGGAGAAGGAAGGAAGGAAGGAAAGAAGGAAGGAAAGAAGGAAAGGAGGAAAGAAGGGAGGAAGGAAGAAAGGAAGGAAGGAAGGAAGGAAGGAAGGAAGGAGGAAGGAAGGAAGGAAGGAAGGAAGGAAGAAAGGAAGGAAGGAAGGAAGGAAGGAAGGAAGGAAGGAAGGAAGAAAGGAAGGAAAGGAGGGAGGGAGGAAGGAAGGAAGGAAGGAAAGGAGGGAGGGAGGGAAGAAGGAAGGAAAGAAGGAAGGAAGGAAAGGAGGGAGGGAGGGGGAGGGGAGGGAGGGAGGGGAGGAAGGAAAGAAGGAAGGGAGGAAAGAAGGGAGGAAGGAAGGAAGGAAGGAAGGAAGGAAGGAAGGAAGGAAGGGAAGGAAGGAAGGAAAGAGAGAGAGAGAGAGAGAGAGAGAGAAGAAAGAAAGAAAGAAAGAAAGAAAAGAAAGAAAGAAAGAAAGAAAAAAAAAGAAGGAAGGAGGAGAAGAGATTTGGTTACATCCAACAATCAATTTGGGTTATTTTGGAATGTAGTATTTTTCCATACACTATACTGGAACTCTATAAAAATACAAATAATAAAGGAAAGTGACGAGTGGGTGACACAGTATACAAATAGCACCACATCCCTATAATTTGAGAATATAGAGCTGAAAAATTTGGGATTTTAAAGGGGCAAAAATATAACAAAAAAACATATATTAAAAAGAGTTTAACAATTTTTATTAGCCACTATATAAAAAATGTGAATAAATACAATACTATTGAGAACATTGATGAAAGCTTGGCTGTATCACTGCGGTTTGGAGAAGTAAAATTTCCCTTCATGTATTGCCCAACAAGGGCTTCCTGAGGGGAAGGAGTCTTTCAACTGCAGTACAGTCTACAATATATGAAACAAATATATGTCAAAATCGGATTACAACATGTCAATTATTTTTAGTACAATTAGTATACTGTTCAAAACTGCAAAGAATTCCCCAGCTCATCCTAAGCGGCAAGCTCACAGAGCTATTGAGGCGTATCAATGTAAGCAATTACGAATCAGCTTGGCCCATACGTCGGTGCAATTGTAGAGGACATAATAGAGGGGGAATATTCATCTATATATAGTATAAATACGCATTAAAAAGATTATCACCATGAAAGGGGAAAGATATATGCTTGCAAACAGGGGCGGACTGACAACTCATGGGGCCCCCGGGCAATTGGGGATCATGGGGCCCCTGTGTCCTTGCCCAAACTCAAAAAAGCCTATGAAAAAGGTACCAGGGGCATCTCATGGTGCCCGAGTTTCCAAATGGTCAGTCCGCCCCTGCTTGTGAACAACTTTACCTGTTACTTATAGTGACTCAGGCAAAGACAAAGAGAAGAGAAAGTTTTTATCTCTGATTGTCAATTTCAAATTCAGCCACTAGATGTCAGGAGTGGCCACAGGTAAAGGGATATCAGCTGAAGAAGGAAAGACTTAGGAAATTATACATGAGAGATCACCTAGATAAGTAAGCAATCACCATGTTGTTGAAGCCAACCAATTAGCATTGACCCTCCAATTTACCTCAATATGATACCAAAACAACTTGCAAAACCATGCATATGAACACCTTTGCAGCCAAAGGGCCATGTCATGTTTCCCACCCTCTTTTATATCCTCCACGCCAGCCGACTTGTGACATCAAAGGTCGGGTGCGGACGTCCGATGTACAATTGCGCATGCGTGAGATCTCCGGTGCACATGCACGAACTGAGGCCACCCAGTATCATTACACAGTCCCAATGGGGAGACAGTACAGACACCTGCAACAGTTCTGGCCAGGGGCGGACTGACCATTTAGAAACTCGGGCACTGCCCGAGGGCCCGGGGTCAGTAGGAGGCCCCATGAGATGCCCCTGGTACCTTTTTCATACGCTTTTTTGAGTTTGGCAAAGAGCACATGGGCCCCATGATCCCCTATTGCCCGGGGGCCCATGAGTTGTCAGTCCACCCCTGGTTCTGGCAGTGGTCACCATGATGAAATCACTTGGCAAATAACTCTAATAAGTACCCTGTCATCTAGTGGTGGATTTTCTTATTTACATCAAGAAATAAGTGGGGTAAAAGCAATTATATTAGTATCTTCAAAAAAGGCAAAAAAATTACTTCCATTCACTATATACACGCCGGTAAGGTCTGGTTCTGTACCCTATCGATACTCATCAGAAGGAATAATATTATGGAGCCGGGGGTTTAAATTCGCAGGCAAGTCGTATTTGGGCGAGCATATCGGATTGGGATCCGAAAAAGCTGCGCCCTGGGCGTCCGTACAATTGCACCTAAGGACGTAGTATGGCACAAATTAAAAACTATAGGGTGAACATTGTTCCTAAGCAACACTCAGCTGAGCGGGGCGAATCCCAATTCTGAGCAATATTTGCCTTAATTCCCAAATCACATATATTAATCATCAATGAATAATACAATAATATTATATAATGCAAGAAGTTGTGATAAATTACTTTAGTCAATGTATAAAATCTTAGTAAAATATATAAAAAACTTTTTTTTTTTGGTGATAAATCCCCATTGTGGGCTTACCTAGGGCAAAGTATATGAGATTGTAAAACTCATAAGAATGGTTTAAAGCTTAACGACTCGTTCAGGCCTGGGTAATGAGTAGCATTGAGCTTATAAATCCATTGCGTCTCAAATTGCAAAAGTTGTTGATCATAATTCCCTCCTCGTACATGTGAGGGGATATGTTCCAAGGCCATAAATCTGATCATTTCCAGGTTGAAATTATGATATAGACCTACATGTCTGCTAATGGGGGTTTCCATTTTATGATTTTTAATAAGTGAGAAGTGGTCTCTAATCCGTTCAATAAATTGACGTTTAGTTTTACGCACATAAAAGCAGCCACATTGGCATTTCATCAAATAGACTATGGCCGGTGTTTGACAAGTAACTCTATGCTTAATATAGTGAACGGCACCATTGGGAAGATCAGCTTCTTTACAACTAGGCATATAGCAGCAAAAACTGCATTTCTGACAGGAAAAAGTACCAGTATGGTCGGCAAGATTGGATTTGGCTTTGTTGTGGCTATGAACTAGTGTGTCTTTGATGGAACATGTTCATTTATAGGTAATAGTTGGATTTGGAGAAATATATTTACTGGCCATAGAGTCAGCTAATAATGGAGGCCAATACTTCTTTAGTATCTTATTTATCTGTTGATGTTGTTTAGAATAGGTGGGTATTAGCCGTACAGTATGGTCATCTTTCAATTTACGTTTACCGAAGAGTAATGATCGACGTTCCTGTTTTTGAACTTTGTTATAAGCTTTTTTCAAACAACAATGACTATATCCTCTCTGCCGTAATCGGGCATAAATGAGGTTAGCTTCCTTTTCAAAATCTCGATCTTTAGTACAATTCTGTTTGAGCTGAAGGTATTGACTGTAGAACTTGAAGCATGCAGAATGGTATTGTCAGCAGCAATTGTTAAAATTATTAAAAAGAGTTCTTAAACTCTTTTTTAATATATGTTTTTTTGTTATATTTTTGCACCTTTAAAATCCCACATTTTTTCAGCTTTATATTCTATAAAAATTCAATTTGAAAGATATAAATGAAAACTATTTATGACTGATGGACAATAGAAAAATAGATCTTGGTACTTATAAGGGCTGTACGTGAAAATATATTTGTAGCGCAGGCCACTGAGAAGCCCTGCGGTTTTGTCCCAGGTTCTCTTCCCAAGTGGAGGCAGAGCAGCCAGGCACACAGCAGCTCCCACAGTCTTACAACACAATGATCAGGCAGTGAGTGTCTTTTTAACTTTTAATGCTCGTTGAACTTGGTTGGAGTGCAGGGTGAGCTTTGGGATGCTCCAAATGTCACGCACAATGTAGCAGAGAACACTCTCTGGCCTAACTAGACTCTACAGGGTGAGTCCCCCCCAGACTAGCTATTGCTAGTAGTAGTAGACACACAACTCAAGGAACTCCAAACACAGGAGAAGTCCTAAGTCAGCAACTGTGGAGCAAGTGCTCAAAGGGTTAAGCAGCAATGGATTTTGGATTTTCTAATAACCACTCTTTGTGAGCAGTGTTGCACTTGTCATGCTGCTATGTTTTATGTAAAGCTTTTGGATTTATAAATCCACACTAATTATCAGTGAGACGGAGATATCTATATGACACATATCTACGTGTCATGTTAGGTGGCTACCCCCCTCCTTTTTCCAATAGCTATTGCTAGTAGTAGTAGACACACAACTCAAGGAACTCCAAACACGGGAAGTCCTAAGTCAGCAACTGTAGAGCAAGTGCTCAAAGGGTTAAGCAGCAACAGTTGCCAGGATCTCTCTCTCTCAGGCCTATACTAACAATGTCCCTGTGTACTTGGATACCTCCTTCCAATACTAGCCCGACACTTCTCTATCGAGCTTCCAGGCCAGATCCTCAGGGAACCTTTTTTGAATTGGCTCGAGGTCTTCTCTAACAGTCCATCCCTGCAGCTCTCCCCGAGCTGTTACCTCAATAAAGTCCTTCAGACTTCAGCTACTCTGACCTGAAGGGTCTTCTCCTCCTGGACAAGGGCCCAGACTATTTATACATGCCTCAGCCCCCTACTGGGCATTCTCTCTCCCACTCTGCTCCACTGATTACAGAGGAGCTAAAAAGACTGAATTTACCCTAACTTCTCTAGCAACCTAATTTAGGAGGGTACTACATATTTCATAACATTTTAATGAATACATTTTTTATATCAGCCTTGCGCTCAACTCTAATTGGGACTTTGAGTGGTAATCTCTTTTGCAGTTCCTTATCTGCTTGTGTACTGTTGATAATCTGCTGACATTCTCCAGATTTGTTGCTCAAATCTCTTTAAATGTGTGGTTTCACCTTCATACTTGTTCAGCCTCAGTGTTATCATTAAAAACTCTCTAGACATGCAGCCCCATAAATATGGATCTGATTATATTGAACTAAGATAAATATAGTGATAGACAGTATAGCATATTGCATAGTATACTATAGTAAGATACTGCAAGGGGTGTCTGTAACTCAAACTCAGGCTCTATGCATAGTTCCTAAAAGGGCAGAGAAGCAGTTACAGGAGCAGGGGAGAGGCGAGTGCAACACATTCTCTGAATGGGGGAGAGGATCCTGTCATTCATTCACCCCCCCAGCATTCTGTGAAAGCAAAGAAAAACATTTTATGAATGGAAGAGAAGACAAGCAGGAGCGGGTGACTGTCAGGACTGTTTCACCGTATTGTTAGAGGACCTGTCACCACTGGAGAAATGACTTCCAAACTAATGAGCAAACAGCAGAATGTAGGTTACACTTCATTATAGGTAAGTAATGTTAGGATAGAATAACGCTTACTGCTAAAAATTCCTCATATGACAGACTCTGGTAACCGATAAACCCGTCTGGTTGAAGGATACTTTCTGTATAATACTTCAAGCTTCGCATATGGCTGCAACTGGCAATATCTGTGACCAATGAAAACAACAGGAAAGCAATCAGGGTTGCTTCACATCCAGAAGTCATACACAAGTAAAAAAAAAAAACAAAATGTGTGAAATAATTGCTGCTAATTGATACATGGATAAAAACTTTGGCAAAAAAACAGCTTGGTGGTTAGAAAAACAATTTTGGTACTGTTCAAAAATATCCACCCCACGCCAGTTTAAAAAGTCTTACATTTCATACTAAAGGGATGTTACACCAGTTATCTGTTGCAATCTCATGTAATGTGTCCAGTAGTGATGGGATGAACACCCCCCCCTGTTCTGTTTGCGGTCGTACATAACAAAAGTTCAACAGCGAACTTCGAACAGAGGGGACAATTTTTTTTTAAAAATCTTTTTTTTCGGGTCGGTGGTGGTGGCATGCATCGTGATTGACCCTGGATCTACTTTGAGGGACATTTTTTTTATTTTTAATAAAGGACTTGTCAAAGACTGTCTCCTGTAATTTTTTACACTACATCTTTTTTTTTTTTGTGAATGGGTAGCAATACCATGTACCCCACACTCATCCACGTGGGGGGGCAAGATCTGGGGGCCCCCTTGTTAAACGGGGCTTCCAGATTCCAATAAGCCCCCTGCCTGCAGACCCCCACAACCACTGGCTACGGTTGTGGGGAAGAGGCCCTTGTTCCCATCAACATGGGGACAAGGTGCTTTGGAAGGCATACAACCCATCACTGGTGTCCAGTGTGGCCATCTCTTGTAGTATTCCTGTAATTTCTGACTCTGTCCTGTTGTGTGCCTGCATTATGTTCATTAAATGTTATTTGTGACACCTTGGTGATGTCAGGGTCCTCATATGAGAAATATGAATATGTAAAGGGTTTAACGAGGGTGAAGGTAGGTAGGTAGCACTAATATTTATAAACCCCAATGACATGTTATTTGTAGTACTGGTAGTGTCCTAACATTACAGTTGCAGACTGTTTACAAAACAATTGGCTGCCCAGGATTACAGGCAGCAAAGTCACAAACACACAGAAAAACTGTTTCCTTTATTCTACTGTAGCACTACCCCCTTAGGAGTTGCTGAAGATTTGGGTCCCCCTATAGTCCTGCACAGCCAGACAACACACATTATTCACAGACTTGCATTTTGGAGACAGTAAACAGTTCTTGAGCTTGGTTTTTAAGTTTTATTAGGGGTAATGAACTTGGATGGGGTTGAGGGGTGTATGGGATGCCCAAGGGAAGTCAAACTGAGGACAACTTTATAGTAACTATATACAAGTCTCCTTACAGCAAAGTCTTCTAGGAGAGCTCTCCAGCCTCTTCTGGTGTACCACCGCAGACCCCAGATGAATACTCTTCTCATCCAGCTATCTGGAGGAAATCAATGGGCAAGGAGATCCCAAAGCTGCTACTTTAAAAGTAACAGTCCTGGGTGTAGAGCTAGTCAGGTTTCCCGCCAGAATGCCCTCTCCCCTTGTCTGGCCCAGGGGGTGTAGGATTGCTCACTCCGTCCTTACCTGTGAGCTGGTTGGGTTGGTGGCTGCCTTCAGGCCTTCTGCTGGGCTGGCTCTTTCCCTGGCTCTACAGGTGGTCCTCCCTTTGGGGACTGATGGGACTGAGTGATCCTCCTTTCCAGATCCTGGCCTGTAGGTAGGCACCTTCCCACTGGGCCCCTTCCCAGGCTCCTGCATTCCAGTCTTCCTCACATTTTCCACCCAAACTCTCCTGCTGCTGAGCAGGCTCAGTCATACGTAAAGTGTTACTAAACCCACAACAGTAAAATCAGTCTGTATATGCAGTACAACATAGGGGTTAATCCTCCGCATTGTGTAAAAACGCTGTTTGATCCTCTCTTTTCCGATCCTCCCTTCTTCCACTGTCTCAAATCAATCTGCTGTTAGTACACAGGAGGCACTCTGCACATGCTCAGTTTAGTGTGTATGGCTAGAGAGTTTTTTTTTTCTTTGGGAGGGTGCATGTGATCAGCACAGGGCCAATCAGCGCTGTCTGGACAGAGGGTCAAGGGTTACGGAGCCTCATAGGACAGTGAGAAAAGAATGAAAACTCCTCCTATGAGCTTTAACCAGTGCTCAGCTGGACACTGAGTCATGAGACTGCTATTTACTGCTGATGAGAAAAGGTATTTAGCAGTTTATATAAATAAACAAATTGCATTTCCATGTTGTGTGCACTGTGGGAGACCAGATATATTGAATACAGGGTCATGGGTTTAGTAACACTTTAGGCGTTTCCTGACCTCATGGCAAGCCGCTTGCCTGGGGATAAGTCAGGATCCCTCAAGTATGCAAATCAGCCCCTCTTCACCCCCGCCCACTGCTTCTAGAATCTTGTCCAAGTTTCTAGAGCAGGGGGAGGTATCAAGGAACTGATCTGCAGGACCTTTCAGCCCTGACCTAAAATTGACCCTCTTACTCTCTCAAACTCTGCTACTCAGCCTTTCTAGCTGAAAAAAAACTAGCTAGCTCCCTCTATCTAACTAGAGGGGTTACATTACGACAATAGAAGCAGCTTAATCTGCAATCGTTTTTCCTCTAATTTTGTTACTAATTTGTGCCCAATGTGTACAGATTGCTCAGTACCTTCCATCACATCGTTAAGGTCCCCCTTGAGGATAACATCTTCTTTTTCCACACCCTGGCATGTATTTTCCTCCGTTTGGATAGAAATCCAGGTGACCGACCACATGGCTTATACCATACCCACCAAATCCTAAAATGAGGAGATTTATATAATGTTATTATTATTATTATACAGGATTTATTATCATGTACATCACATGCAATTCAATTATATATTCTTTAGGACACAACTGGGCCCAGGGCAAATCTCTGTTTAATATAAAACATTATCTTATCTATATTGGGGCAAGTGACTATATACTGTAAATATCCCATCTCTGCTGTTCATGAATATTTCTAAGAAAATATAGATGGGATATAGCATTGAAAGGTATATTTCTGAATTTCCAAGCTATTTGACAACCAGGGCAATTGTACTCATGCCAACTGTAAACAATTTATGCAGTGCTTTACATATAGTGTATAGGTACAACAGTTCTCAAGGAGCTTACAATCTAAGGTGCCTATCTTACATTCATACATACAGGTACTTGCGCCAACTTAGACAGGAACCAACTGGTGCTAACCACCAAGACTTCACTGAATTTAAAAAATGCTTATATCTAAATTAAAGATTCATCCTCAGACCTGAACATTATGTCAAGTATAAAACCTAACCCCAATTCATTCTTATTTACAGTTACAGTGAGGAACAGAAGTAATTGAACACCCTGTGATTTATTATTATTATTATTATTTATTATATACAGTATTTATATAGCGCTAAAAGGTTTGCTCAGCGCTGTACATTATAGTGGGGGACAGATCATGAGACAGTACAGTAACAAAACAAAACAATACACGAAGGGTTCAAGGGCCCTGCTCTTTCAAGCTTACAATCTAGGAGGGAGGGATAGTGGCACAGGAGGAAGTGGCTGTGGGAGATGGAGTGGTAGGAGGAGTGGAGGAGATCGGCTGTTAGGTGAGGGTGGGGGGTAGGCTTCCCTGAAGAGATGGATTTTCAGAGTGCACCTAAAGGTGAAGTCTGATGGATTGGGGTAGTGAGTTCCAGAGGATGGGGGAAGTCCTGGAGAAGTCCTGCAGTCGGGCGTGGGAGGTAGAGACCAGGGAGCTAGAAAGTAGGAGGTCTTGTGAGGAGCGAAGATTACGGGTTGGGTGTTATTTGGGTATCAGGTCGGTGAAGTAGTTTGGGGCAGCGTTATGAATGGCTTTGTATGTCTGTGTTAGTAGTTTGAATTTAATGTGTTGGGCAATCAGGAGCCAGTGGAGGGAATGACAGAGGGGGGTGGCAGAAGCGGAGCGGTTGGTAAGGTGGATGAGTCTGGCCGCTGAGTTCAGGATAGACTGAAGCGGGGATAGTCTGTGATGAGGTAGGCCGGTGAGAAGGGAGTTAAAGTAGTCCAGACGTGAGATAATAGGGGAGTGAACGAGTTGTTTAGTAGTGTCTGGGGTTAGGAACGTACGTATTTTGGAGAAGTTGCGGAGGTGGAGCCTGCATGAGTTTGCCAACGATTGGATATGGGGTTGGAATGACAGGTTTCAGTCTAGAGTGACACCTAGGACTTTGGCTTGTGGGGTGGGACTGATGGTGGCGTTGTTGGTGGTGATGGAAAGGGTGGGGGTGCAGGCTGGGGCAAAAATTAGGAGCTCGGTTTTGGAAAGGTTCAATTTGAGGAAATGGAGCGACATCCAGTCTGATGTGTCATTCAGTAGATGGGTGATACGGGTGGAGACTGTAGGGGTGAGACGAGGGGTGGAGAGGTAAATTTGCGTGTCATCAGCATAGAGGTGATAGTTGAAGCTGTGGGAGTGTATCAGTTTGCCGAGGGAGGAGGTGTAGATGGAGAAGAGAAGGGGCCCGAGGACAGAACCTTGGGAGACCCCAACAGAGAGGGGGCGAGAGAGGGAGGTGGTAGCGTTATAGGTAAGTTCTCCCACTTAGAAATCATGGAGGGGTCTGAAATTCACATTGTAGGTGCATTCCCACTCTGAGAGACAGAATTAAAAAAAAAAATTCAGGAAATCACATTGTATGATTTTTAAAGAATTTATTTGTCTTGCACTGCTGAACATAAGTATTTGAACACCTGAGAAACAACAAGAATTCTGGCTCTCAAAGACCTGTTACTGTGCCTTTACAAAGTCCACCTCTACCCCACTCATTAATCTAACTTAGCAGCACCTGTCTGAGCTCTGTAAAGACACCTGTCCACCCCACAGTCAGTCAAACGCCAACTACTACCTGTAGCACCTAAGGGGCCTTAGTGATTGCTAAATATATATAGTATAAATACTACAATACATAACACCAAAATTACATAAATAAACATAAATCTGTTATTCTTATACTCTCCATAAACAGCCCAATATGTGACATATAGCATGTTCAACCTTAAAAATATATACTTAAAAAATACATAAAAATGGATAAAACATTCCCTTTAAGTTTTCCTGGAACCAATCATACCATTATTTCATTATAAAAAAACAAACAGAACATCCTTTATGAATAAAATGGATGAGAATAATAAAAATATAATTTTATCATGGCAGGTAATGTAAAAGTTTATTGCAGGAGTTTTAAAATAAAGTAATATTATACAGAGAGCCCTTTTCTGGTCCCATTCTGTTTCAGAGGAGAAAAGGTCAGTGGAAAAGCTTATGCCAGAGAGCCAGGGTGGTGCAATAAGTGCATATCTAACCTTGGTTTAATATTAGGGTCAACAGGAAAAGGTGAACACATAATTTAAGCACTGAGTGAACGCATGCATCACAAGTGATGTTCCTGTAGGAAATTGAAGAAGAGGTTATGTGCACAACACAGTGGTGGAAAACGTTTCAAGTCATTATAATTTATGGACACATTTTACTTATTTATTACACATTGATGCTATAATATATACAGATGATCATTTAATGCTGATTTTGGTTGCGCTGCATCAAGATAGATTGTATACATTATATTTATACAGTACATCCCCTAGCTGTACTGAAACAAGTCAACATGTAGAAAGGAAAGTTGTGTCTGTACTCAACACTGTATAAAGGAGGAGATGTGTCTATGCTCAATGATGTAGAAATGGAAATGGAGATGGACATGTCAATGTGGTCTTTTGAGCAGAGATATCTCCTCCATTTGTATTGAATAGTGCAATTCGGGACCAACCCCGAGTCTGTAGATTTCCCCTGTGTCTGTTTGCCCCATATAGTTACATAGTCTGGCTGAAAAAAAGACAAAAGTCCAGCCAGTTCAATGAAACAAAAAAAAATGTATAATCCTATACCCACAATTGATCCAGAGGAAGGCAAAAAAAAAAAAAACCAGCAAAGCACGATCCAATTTGCTTCTGCAGGGGAGAAAATTCCTTCCTGATCCTCCGAGAGGCAATCGGATATTCCCTGGATCAACTTTACCTATAAATGTTAGTATCCAGTTACATTATGTGTATCTAGGAAATAATCCAGGACTTTTTAAAAAAATGTTGGTACTATATAGTATGTCCATTAAAGTATGCTGTGGGCAAGCATTTGGCATTTTGCACAGGGACTGGCTAGAGAGGGATTATTTGATACAGTTGGCCAGCTTGAACACGTTAATAGTATGAAAGAAGTATCGTTCGAATGCCCCAATAAATAGTTCTCCGACCAGTTTAATTAACTGCTGCCAGATGCTGGTCTGTAGAGTAGGGACTGGCTAGAGAGGGATTATTTGATACAGTTGGCCAGCTTGAACACATTAATAGTATGAAAGAAGTATCATTTGAATGCCCCAATGTATAGTTCTCCGACCAGTTTAATTAACTGCTGCCAGGTGCTGGTCTGTTAGAGAACACCTCCAGCTCAACCACGACCCATACAACTGATTCTGGTGTGCACGCTGTTAATGAACACCAGAGTAACATAAAAACAAAAAAAAAAAAAACAACAGCGAACGGCTTCAGCTCGATCATTCACCCATTGAGAATACCCCTCTAATGCGTTTCTCTGATGGAGGGGCTTAATTGTAGAGTTTGAATATGTACTGCAATATATGCAAACCAAAAATCCCTGCAAAAGTGTGCTAGAAATATCTAAGGGTGTATTGCAGAGTGCAGAGGGTTAATTTAGAATTTTCAGTGTTCACAGTGGAAACTGTCCCCATATTGTAAAGCTCGAAAGAGCAGGGCCCTCAATCCCCTCATGTTTTGCATTGTATTGGTATTGTTCTGTCACATGTTCTGTCCCCCTCTGTAATGTACAGCGCTGAGCGAACTATTGGCGCTTTATAAATACTGTATAATAAATAATAATAATATTGTGTGCACATTCAAAGAAAAAAAATCACTACACAGCTTAATGCATTCCATCATCACTGTGACTTTCACACACTGGCACCAGCTATAGGGAAAATAATACCAAGGACTCACCTAGATTGGCAGCAGTGGAAGAGCTATCAGTGTGGATGACATCGACAAAGAGTGCGTCTGATGGATCTAGTCTGACCTCAGCTGGGGTGTCCTGGAAATAGGGCTGAGCTGGGTCCAATCCTGAATTGCAAATCAACAGAATAGGTCAGTACCAAAGTTCTTTTAAGGTTGACATTTTATGTCTGTAAATCATGAACCTTTCTTTAAAAATAAAATCTGGCTTGAGAGTTATGGATATTGCAATTCCAGACTCCACCTTCAAGTAGATGTGTGGTAGTGCTGAACGGGTAGTGGTCAAGATTAGGGATGAGCTCATAGTTTAGTCTGAACACAAGTTCGGAGTAAACTTTGGCTGTATGGACATTTGCACGAATGCCCAAACATTTACCTGTTCAGTGGAAGTCGAATGCAATGTATAATAGCAGTATTGCTATTGCTATTATACTTGACATCTTCCTGCTGTCAGTGGTTGTTAAGAACACCGGTGGGTGCAGCTATCACTGAGTCCTTAGCAACCAAGTGTAGTGCCCCTTTAGTTAACCAGTGGGAGCTAGCTTTTTTTTTAAAGCAGAGGCTGAATAGCAGCCTGGGATGAACAGGCCATATGCCTGCAACATGGGAGGGGGGGGGGGGGATCTTGTCAGTGGGAGACCCCCAGACAGAGCTATTTGTCCCCGTGTTAATGAGGACAAGGGCCTCTTCCTCACAACCCTGGCCCAGTGCTTGTGTGGGTCTGTGGGTGAGGTGCTTATCAAAATCTAGAAACCCCCTTTAATAATAACGGATTCCTAAATACCATCCTGCCATGAATGAGTAAGGGGTACATAGTACATGTATTTGACCATATTGTATATAGCCATGTACATAAGACCATAAACATCAACTGGGAGACCACACCCTTTTGTATATATCAGCTGCCAGATCTGTCATTCAGTGGGTGTGAAGCAACAGGACCAGATGTGTGTTGAAGAATAGCATTTTTGTTTTTGCTTCAATTAGTTGGCGTCAGTCATTGTAACTGATGGTGGATATACATCAGGGTACATTTTTTTTGGATGAAAGGACTCAAAAATTGTGTGTTTTTTTATTTACACTTTACATTTTTTTGTGAATGAGTAGGGGTACTATGTACACCTTACTCATTCACATGGGGGCACAGTAACTGGAGGCTCCCTTATTATTAAAGGGGGCTTCCAGATTTCAATACGCTCCTCACCTATGGATCATCACAACCACTGTGCAGGGTTGTGGTGAAGAGGCCTTTTCCCTCAACAACAAGAGGATAAAGTGCTTTGCCAAGGGGCCTCCCTAGCAAGGTACCCTCTCCCATGTTGAATGCATGTTTCCTAGCATGGTTCAAAAGGAGGAAAGTACATGATCCTCCCACCTTTCTTGGCCTGCCTGGCTGTTTGCTCAGATAATGGTCTGGTATGGATTTTTATGGTGGACCTCACACTTTTTTCATGGTTTTTCCCCTTAAAATCTATACCAGATCTGATATGATCTAGCATGAGCCCCTCATCTAGGGTAAAGGTCTGGTATAGCTGAATTGAATCCACAACCACTTTGTTTACAAACATAACGGCCGGCTGGGAGCTGTCATTTTGGCAGCAATTTAAACACTTTTTTCTTTGTAAACATCAATGTTACCATAGTACATGGTATACATCCGCTTCACAGACAGGATCAGGGCATCCCCTACGCATGTTATTTAAATACATTTTTAAAAACCATATCTTTAAATATTACTAAAATTGCTGATCCCGAATACAGAATTTACATTTTTTTTTTTCGGCTTTGGTAGATTTCCACCAGGGCAGTGCCCAGCCCCTTATCCCATTTGTTTCACAATCCCTTGCTTGTTAGTATTGAACATGGTGATTAGTGATATGGCATCTGAACTCTAGTCATGTTGAGCAAACCCGCCTCAAGCTGAACCCAGGGGTATTTGGCTTATCGCTAGTCAAGATTTGTTGCTTCTAGGTAATTTTCCTTGTGTAGGATAGACTTGGACAGAGAAGGTGGTGTATGGGAACCATTTTTTGATCCTAGAATGCTCAATACCCAGTAATGGTAGGGATGTCATTCCTCACATCAATCAATAAATCAATCAATCAATCTATAATAGTGTGGTGAGGAGCACCTTTTACAAACAGTTATATGACCAGGTCATTTATTTCACAGTCTTTATTGGTTTGGAAATCAACGTATAGCCAACACATTTCGAGGAATGTGGACTCCTCCGTCTTCAGGGTTTGGTCAAAATCTTGTGACTGGATTTAGACACAAATTAAAGTCTGGAATGAAGTTATGAGGAGCTGGGTGAGCAGTGTCCTGTGCCAGTGAGAAGTGTCCTGTGCCGGTGAGCCGTGTCCTGTGCCGATGAGCAGTGTCCTGTGCCGGTGAGCCGTGTCCTGTGCCGATGAGCAGTGTCCTGTGCCGGTGAGCCGTGTCCTGTGCCGATGAGCAGTGTCCTGTGCCGGTGAGCTGTGTCCTGTGCCGGTGAGCCGTGTCCTGTGCTGGTGAGCAGTGTCCTGTGCCGGTGAGCAGTGTCCTGTGCCGGTGAGCAGTGTCCTGTGCCGGTGAGCAGTGTCTGTGTGAGTATTGGCTATATTTTGCTTCCCTGACCAACAAAGAGTGTCAAATAAAATTATCTAGTAGTATGACTGTACAAGGTGCTCCTCACCACTCTACCATAGGCTGACTTCTGTTTCTTAAAATGACATCCGCCTGGCTGTATGTGATCTGTGTTGTGTTTAGAAGGCAAAAGTACTATGTGTGGTCAATCCTGGAGAACCCACCAGTGATTCTGGAAACTCCTGGCTTCCTCTTCCCGGCTTCCCCTGCAGCATGAGCCCCCAGGCTATGTCCAATGAGATGGATATTAGATGGGAAATAGTCAAACTTGTCCTATATGAGCAACAAAACTAAAAGTAAGGTTGGATAGAGGTTATAAAGCTCTCTCTTTGTCATACCTTCCATTTTTCTCACCCCTCTCTTTTTCCAACTTTATTTTCTCTCCTACCCCCCTTTTATTCCCTTTATATCTATTACTCTACCCTCCTCTTTCTATCCCTCTCTATTTTGCTCTTTCTTCCTCTTTCTTTTTCGCTCTCCCTCTTCTTGAACATCTAGTTACACTCACATCTGTCCCCGTTTAGAAGATTAGCTGCAGAACAGATTTACACAGCCTTGAAAAAGTATTCATACCTCTTAAAATTTTCCACATTTTGTCATGTTACAATCAAAAACATAAATGTATTTTATTGACATTTTATGTGATAGACCAACACAAAGTGTCACATAATTGTGAAGTGGAAGGAAAATGATAAATGGTTTTCAAGATTTTTCCAAATAAATATCTGAAAAGTGTGGCGTGCATTTGTATTCAGCCCCCCGGAGTCAATACTTTGTAGAATCACCTTTCGCTGCAATTACAGCTGCAAGTCTTTTTTGGGGATGTCTCTACCAGCTTTGAACATCTTGAGAGTGAAATTTTTGCCCATTCTTATTTGCAAAATGGCTCAAGCTCTGTCAGCTTAGATAGAGAGCATCTATGAAGAACAATTTTCAAGTCTTGCCAAAGATTCTCAATTGGATTTAGGTCTGGACTTTGACTGGGTCATTCTAACACATGAATATGCTTTGATCTATACCATTCCATTGTAGCTCTGGCTGTATGTTTAGGGTCGTTGTCCTGCTAGAAGATGAATATCCGCCCCGGTCTCAAGGCTTCAGCAGACTCTAACAGGTTTTCTTCTAAGATTGCCCTGTATTTGGCTCCATCCATCTTCCCATCAACTCTGACCAGCTTCCCTGTCCCTGCTGAAGAAAAGCATCCCCACAACATGATGCTGTCACCACCATGTTTCACGGTGGGGATGATGTGTTCAGGGTGATGTGCAGTGTTAGTTTTCCGCCACACATAGCGTTTTGCTTTTAGGCCAAAAAGTTCACTTTTGGTCTCATCTGACCACAGCACCTTCTTCCACATGTTCGCTGTGTCCCCCACATGGCTTCTAGCAAGCTGAAAACGGGAGGGACTTTTTATGGCTTTCTTTCAACAATGGCTTTATTCTTGCCACTCTTCCATAAAGGCCAGATTTGTGGAGTGCACAACTAATAGTTGTCCTGTGGACAGATTCTCCCACCTGAGCTGTGGATCTCTGCAGCTCCTCCAGAGTTACCATGGGCCTCTAGGTTGCTTCTCTGATTAATGCTCTCCTTGTCCGTCCTGTCAATTTAGGCCATGTCTTGGTTTGCAGTTGTGCCATACTCTTTCGATTTTCGGATGATGTATTGAACGGTGCTCCGTGAGATGTTCAAAGCTTGGGATATTTTTTATAACCTAATCCTGCTTTAAATTTATCCACAACTTTATCGCTGACCTGTCTGGTGTGTTCCTTGGCCTTCATGATGCTGTTTGGTCACTAATGTTCTCTAACAAACCTCTGAGGGCTTCACAGAACAGCTGTATATATACTGAGATTAAATTACACACAGGTGGACTCTATTTACTAATTAGGCTACCTCTGAAGGTAATTGGTTCCACTAGATTTTAGTTAGGGTTATCAGAGTAAAGGGGGCTCAATACAAATCCACGCCACATTTTATAGATATTTATGAAAAAAATACCATTTATCATTTTCCTTCCATTTCACAATTATGTGCCACTTTGTGTTAATCTATCATGTAAAATCCCAATAAAATACATTTACGTTTTTGGTTGTAACATTACAAAATGTGGAACATTTCAAGGAGTATGAATACTTTTTCAAGGCACTGTAGCTACAACCTGACTGATGCCCAGCAGAGGGAGACACACCACCATGATGTACCAACAGCTGGCAATCCAGAGTTATTAAGGACTTTCACAACTCACATTTAACACTCTGCAATGCAAAAATGTGAACTATCAGTGCATTGTGGGGTGCACTGCATTAAAAAAGTGTGTAGGTAGGTTTTTGTGTGTGTACCCTAATTTATGGTAAAGCCTTGTTAGAACACATAGATATCTATTTATAAAAAAATATGTTGAATGAATGTCACAGGCATTCGCCCAGCCTGCATGAATTCTGACCATATTTTACTCAATATGCTGATGTACTATGATTATCAGCTCCATCTAGTGGCCATAATGTAGTGTTTTCTTGAAATACCTCAATTTGGGAAATACTGCATTATAACCAGTAGATGGTGCTGGCCATAAAAAGTCATCGCTATATTAAAGCGGAGTTCCACTCATCCTGTCAAAAAATAAAAGTCAGCATCTACAAAAACTGTAGCTGCTGACTTTTAAAAAACAGCCACTCACCTGTCCCTCTGTCCCGTGGTGTGTCCCCTGCAGCCCGTTTCACCTGCCGTCCTGGATTCCAGGAGGCCAGCATCTTCAGTGTGGGCACCCGGCTGTGACTGCTTGCGGCTTCACAGCCGGGCACCCACTGTGCATGTGCGAGTAGCGCTGAGCTTCATGAATGGTCCTGTAGTCCTCTGGGACCTGTAACGTGTCCCAGAAGACTACGGGGAGGGAAGGAGGGAGGACACCTTCCGTTTCTGATCACCTAGGCAGTCCAACTGCAATTGGGAGCCGGTACCTGTTAAATTCGGGTACGTGCTCTCCCCCCCCGCCCCCCAAAATTACCAATCATTAATGGGGAGCAGTCCTTAAAGTGGAACTTCCCCTTTTGGGTGGAGCTCCGCTTTAAGCAAATTACAGCCAGAATTTGTGAGGTGCTTGTGATATTTGTGCAACAGACTCTTTTAAACATCCCTTTTTGTGAATGAGGCCTTATGGAAAAATGTAACATATAAAACAATTAAACAAACCATCTTTTAACGTAGTGTTATTTTACATGACCATTAAATTTCAATCTGCAGATAATGTGATTTTCTAAAACTTAAAAAAAAATAGATTGACATTTTCTTGCATCAATGATGCCTTATCAGCGGATGTTAGAGCCCATTGTAGGAGTGTTGGTCACTCAGCACATCACCAGAATGTCAGAAACTGAGATTTAAAGAATCCCTTCTGACTGGCTGGCAATGCTTAATGCTATAGCAGTCAGTCTCCATATTACCCCATTTAGCGGAGATGTTCCCACAGACAGAGCACTACTTTGTGTGTTCAGTTCTCATCCACAACCAGTAAGTCCTAACCATTGTGGAAACTTCATGAGGAAAATTGAAAATAAAATAGGAAATTACTATTTATAAAGCTGAATACTTTGTACTCTGGCCTTGGAACATTAGTCCAAAAATATTTTTAAAGACAATATTTCTTCATGTTAAAATGGAAGAAATTTAGATTTTTTTTCTTATACCTGGAGAACATTGATGAAATAGGCCACCTCTGCCCCAACAACTCGGATATTATTAGCGGCCTGAGTGAATAAGGCCCGGGATCCGCCACCCCAATCCACACAGATACAATTCACGTCTTCCACTTGTAGCATCGTCTGGAGGAGATAACAAATATAAATACTCCTTCCTTATTCCAAAGGAAGGTGAGAGTTCAAACATTGCACAATTCTTGTGGTTAGTGGGCTTTGTAGTGCAGCTGGAACTTACGGGGTCCAAACACTACAGATAACAATAAACCAGGTGAATTTAGGTATCAACAGGTGGAAATGTTAGATAAGTGTGCAGAGAATGCAATATTCACCCTTTTCTTACAGTGAATGTTACAGTAAAGGCCTTATAGCCCCATTCCAGGCTCAGTATGACCCCTTCCTTTTGCTCAATCCTCAAGTTCGCTATTTCCTTTCCTGGTGAAGTCATACATATTCATCTATAACTCTATAGCCCAAGTCTCGAACCACTGATCCTGCACTTAGATCTGTCAGTCCCCTCCATTACCATCAGGATCCTAAGGGGACCGCACCACTGGACATCCAACAGGAAGTGTCCATGCCACTGACTGCCTACCAAAGAAGGACCAATCTTTGATGTAAACAGAAGAGGAAAAGACTTGGGGTGGTAGTGTCATATGACCACGGCTTCAGGTTTTTTACTGAAATGTTCACTTAAAGAGGAGTGCTAGGGAGATGTAGGAGAGAGGCAAATTTATCCCAAGATTCACCTTGAGTGAATCTTGGGAGAATTCTTGGGAAAATGTTAACTAATATTTTTCTTGATACATAAGGTGAATGTACACTAGCCAATTTTGAGCAAATCGTGGGTGAAAACAGTCATAAATACACCTCAACAATAACAATTTTGTTGGTATGAATAAATAAAAGGTAATAGCATGGCTTATAAACCTTTCCGGGCGGTAATGTTGCTCCATGCACCCCCTATGGCGTGATCAATCCTTTATATTTTTGGTCACATGATCAGTTTCGGAGGAAGCTTCAATGATAATACTGTAAACTGTACTAATGGCACTGGCTGCGAAGGGGTTAACATCAAGGGACAATGGAGGGGTTAACTGTGTGCCTAACAAAATGTAATGTGTGCTGTTTTTTAACTCACAGATCAGGCTGCTTTTTCTCCCTGAACTCAGAGTTGATTTTCAGGGAGAAGAAACAGCCAGATCACTGTCTGTGTACAGAGTTCTATGTGTTTGTAAACAGCACAGATCAGCAGGAGGCACACGCATGCACACGGGAAAGCCCTTTAGTTCACCAAGAGATTCACAGGTGCCTGACTGTGACGTCCACTAGCAGTAAATGTTAGCTAGCTAGTGGGCGGCAAGTGATTAACAAGCTAACATTCCCTACGTTTAATGGTTTGAAGTTTGAACTTTGATATCTAACTTTATTTCTTTTATTGCCTTTGATCAATAAAAGAAAAAAAAAAGAACAACAAAAAAAAGACCTTTGCTACCGACTGGAGGACACAATGCTTTACCATCAATTGTTGAGCTCTACCCGGAATAAGGACTAATTGGACTAACTTTAGCTATT